GCCGTCGTCCCGTCTCCACTCACCGTGCCACCTCATATGCTTCACACAGTGTGGAACTGAACCCCATGTCGAAGATCCTGCTCTGCACGTCCTGCTGAAGCTCTGGGATCAGCCCCACCAGAAACTTAATGATCAACCGCCCCTGATCCTGGCTCTGCATATCTTCCCCGAGCTCTACCAGCCGTTTATAGTACACAAGCAGGATTCTTTAGTACGCCTCCCGTACCCGGACCGGCATCTGCAGGGGAAACTGCTCCTTCAGCATCAGCAGAAATATCTCTGTCGGGTCCCTTTCTTTAGGCGGCATTCCCACAGCCCAGTGCAGCATCTTGCGACACGAGATGTAGTAATAAGTCTCCGTTTCTCCTGTCAGCGTGTTCGCGAGGCCCCTGAAGGATTCCTCCAGCGATTAGTCATCCTTCTCCCATCGCGCTTTCACATTCTCCAACTGCATGGTATAGTTCTTGAGGCTCCCCCCTCGCGACGCGTCTCCTGAAAACCGCTCGGGGACCTCAACCTTCGGCAGTTGGGTGTATCGCCAGTGGCTTCCGCTGACCTCTTCCGCAGCCCCATGCCAAGAGGCACTCGGCTGATATTCCCTTGTGGTGGCTGCTGCTGCCTCCCGCTTGAGATCTTCAGCTCACTTCTTTTCCATCTCATTCCCTTCCTCATCTGTCGCAGGATGCGTGCCATGCACCGCCTCCTTCGGCAGACGATCCCAAGCAAGGTTCTCGCTCTCAGATCCCACGTCTTCCTGCCCTGCTTCCTGCTCGCCCTCCTTTCGTGTGGGCAGTGGTTTGTCGGTTCCATCCTTCTCCATCTCTCGCTCCTCCGCGTACTCCTTCCCCAATCGTAGCGGCATAGGCTTTTTGTATGTAATGAAAAGCCTCCTATCCGGCTAATTTACACTCACACGTATGCCCCTTTAGAGCTTCTTGTTCATGTCATCGCTAGCTAGTTCGGTCAGAGAGAAATCCGACAGTTGAACTAATTGTGAGAACATTCAAAAAGTGGCATGTGTATGTTCACCCTCCAGCTTCTGACATTCTCTACCTAGTTGGAGCAGAAGGGAGGCAGCTTAGCCTGTCAGCCAATCGACAATCGGCATCCATCCTGCCATCCACCTGCTTGCCCAGCTGTCCACTTACATACAGACATATGCACATGAAAGTGAAACGAACAAAGCAACAGATCCCAAGCCATCATTCCAGGTTCGGCCGATCCCCGGCCTTCTCCCAACCTCTGCCCATCCTTCTGCCAGTTGGCTCCAAACCCGCGAGCTGCTGCCGCCAGCTAGCTCCACCTCACTCCATGCAATCCCCGATAGCGGCTTCCTCACCCGACCTTCCCTTAGTTCCGGCCTGTTACACTTCCCCCTCGACCCTCATTCATAATTACAATCATATATATTATGTACAGTAACGCCCAAATCCGTCGACATTTCTCCACGGACGTCCTCCGCCTAGAATTCTGACATGTCCAGTGTCATAAATGTGTCAGGTTTTTTTAGGCAATCAATCTTTGCATGTAAATGGGAATTAGTTCTCAAGCCATGTATTTTGATTATAATGTATTGCTAATTAATCAGAAACGAAGCCAGAAATTAGAATAACATAGCAGTTACATCCAAAGAATTTACTGTAGCATCCCTGGCCCTGGCTGCCCCCACTCCATTCTCAACCCGTAGACCCTCTCGTAAGCGATTAGCATGGGCCATGATTCTAGGGGCTGTCCAATCTGGTTGCAGCTAAACTGAGACTCAAGGCCCTTAATGTGTAAAAGATAAACAGGTCAAACAAACCTACCACGTAACAGAAAATAGCGACATGGGGAATTTTGACATGGATGGAGCAACACCTATTCCCCTGCACATGGTCATCTCAAAACCGCAGTTGCCAATGCTCTCATCTTGGCCAGCGCAGTGCCAAGAAGAGCCATACAACCTTGAAATTTTATAATTATATAGTTTAGCTAGGTTCTATTCGCGCATAGCCTAGTTAGGTCAGTTCTTAGAGGGTACAGCCCTACTCTTGTACCCCTCGACATTTTTCCCTTAGTCAACATTCTCTCGGTAACCTAACGTGGTGGCGAGTTTGCCTCTGGCACTCTAGGACAGTTCTGTCGTGCAGAGGGCATCCGCCATACGTACACACTGCCGGACTCTGCACAGCAGAACGGGGTCGCTGAGCGGTGCATCGGCCTGGTCATGGAGATAGCTCGCACCTCCATGGTCCACGCAGGTGCACCCTATTTTTTGTGGCCATTCACAGTGCGCTACGCTGCTCACCAGCTCAACCTGTGGCCGGACTCTCAGTGGCCACAGGTTTCGCCGACCCTTCTCTGGGTCGGGTCTCCTCTGATGCGTCTGCGTTTCAAGTCTGGAGCAGCCTTGCTCATGTCCGCAACACTCGCGCAGACAAGCTCTCAGCCCGCACACTTTCTTGTGTCTTCCTAGGGTTTCCGCTTGACGCCCCTGAATAGCTGTTCTACCACTCGTCACACCACCGCTTCTACCACTCTCGTGACGTTACCTTCGACAAGACGCTCCCATACTACCAGCGCTTCCCGCATCACAACGCTCCCGTGCCTCCTCTTTCTCTCTTCCTCGTCCCTGCCCCGCCTGCAGCACCCCTCCCACCTTGCCCGGGCCAGTCTGGTATCTCTCATGCCACTCAGTTCCCCTCGGTTGGGCTCGTGGGGGAGTCGGTTGACTCAGGGGGCCCAGCTGCTGGGGGCGCACCTGCTGTCCCTGTGGCGCCTCCCCCAGCCTCGGTACCCCAGGCACCTCAGCCGCCTTGCCCCTTGCCTCAGCAGCCGCTGGAGCAGACTCAGCGGTCGCAGTCGCAGCAGCAGCAGCAGCAGGAAGCAGTGGACTTTCGGGGTGCTGGTGTTGTGGGTGCTGGTGTTTGGGGTGCTGGTTCTGGGGGTGCGAGTTCTGGGGTTGCTGACTCTGGGGGTGATGGTTCTGTGGGTGGTGCGACCGAGGGTGCTAGTCCTGGCAGTGCAGTTTTGGGGAGTACCGGTGGTAGCTGAGGCGCAGCTGGAGGTCCTGGAGAGGGCAGGGAGCACCAGCAGCTGACGCAGCAGCAGCAGCAGCAGCTGACGTAGCAGCAGCACCAGCTGCTGCAGCAGCTGCACCAGCAGGCAAAGCTGTAGCAGAAGGGGCAGCAGCAGTCTGCTCTTGGTCTTCCCTCGGTTCCCTTGACTGACTGCCCGTCCCTCCTCCGGTGCATGACCTTATTTACGGCCCGCTATTACCTCCCCCAGACTCCTCTCCGAATCGTTTTCCCCCGTGCTCCTCCGTCCCCTAACTTGTCTCCCTTCCACCCTCGTCTCCAGTTCCCCATTCTCCCCCACTGGGTCAGTCGTCCATCTGGTGCTTAACTTGTCTCTCCTCGTCCGAGTGTCCACCCTATGGCCCTTTGTTCGCATACTCCACTAGTCCCGGTCCTTCCGTTGCCTCCCCAGTCGTCGCTCTCATAGTCTCTTGCTCTTTCCTCTGACTCTGATCGCACTGCTTGCCCTACCCTCTCGCGCTTGCTTGCGTCGCTTGTCACTGACCCTGCTGCTCCTCTTGAGACCGTCTCCGCGCTTGTCGCTGCTGTTGCTGACTTTGCTGCTAGCCACCGCCTTGACTACACTGCCATTCTGGTTTTTGGTACTGCCTGTTCTCTGTCCGTTGGGGGTGCACCTGCCCTTGGCAGTGACGTGCGAGAGGACAAGCAGCACGATCTGGCCTAACTTGCTGCCGCTGTACCTCATCTCTGCTCTATGCTTGTATCCCCAGAGGGTGACCCAGATGCCCTCGACATCCCTATCCTGCGCTCTTACGCTGAGGCGGTTTTGGGGCCCTGGGCAGCCTAGTAGATACAGGCCATGGAGAGCCGCTGAAGATCAAGGCACGTTACGTGGCTAGAGGCTTTAATCAGCGAAATGGTGTGGACTTCTTCTAGACCTTCTCCCCTACCCTGAAGATGACTTCTCTTCGAGTGCTCCTCCACCTAGTCGCGCAGAGTGACTACGAGCTTCACTCACTCGACTTCTCCACAACCTTTCTGCAGGGTATTCTGCATGGGCAGAACCACCTCCGGCGCCCACTACGCTTCTGTGGGTCCTTCCCAACTGGGACCCAGTGGAGCCTGCGCCGCCCTGTCTACGGCCTTCGTTAGGCGCCCCATGAGATGCACGTTACGCTTCGCACCACACTTGCTGAGCTGCAATTCTTCATGTCCTCTGCTGATTCTTCTCTCTTTGTTCGGACGGGTCAGACCCCACGTAGATGATTTTATCTTTGCTAATCCTGATAGATACGCACTGGCCTCAGTGAAGGCCGATTTTCTTCGGACGCACACTTGTGCAGACCTAGGGGAGCTGAGACGCTTTCTGAGCTTGGAGATATCTCATGATCGTGTTGCTCGCACGATGACACTCTCCCAGTCCCATATGGTACAGCAGATCCTTCAGAGGTTCAGTTTCCAGTTCTCCTCAGCACAGCCCACCCCTCTGCTTGTTGATCACAAGCTCTCTGCTCCTGTTCCGACTGAGCCGGTAGAGGCTAGTGGTCCATACGCAGAGCTGGTGGGTTCCCTTATTTACCAGATGACCTGCACTCGACCAGATCCAGCAAATCCTCTCAGTCTCCTTGCTCGCTTTCTGGCGACAGGCAGGCACCGACCAGTCCACAGGTCGGCTGCCAAGAGGGTAGTGAGGTAACTGGCGAGTACATCAGGCCTGGGGCTTGTGCTAGGAAGACGGTGTAAGAAACAGAGTTGAAATGATTGATTAGGTAAGGAGCCCAAGGCTCTATAAGTACATGGCAAGGTGAGAGTGAATGGATGAAAGGAGAATTGGAGGGAATCCCCATTGGGATCTCCTGAATCTCCAATTGGGTAATTGGAGATTGGGGGGATCACAATTGGGTGAGGTTGGGATTTGTGAGTACACCCCAACCCACCAGAACATTCATAACCTAAACTAGGATATAAAAGTACAAATACAAAAGTGGTATTTGTAGTCTATTTCTAACACACCCCCATAGACCGCAAACCTGATCAAGGAGCGCATAGCCCAATGGAACGGAGAAGGCGATGGTGGTCAGCCTTGCTAAGAGCCTTGGTAAAGAGGTCAGCGAGGTTGCAATCCGAGGCGATGTACCGTACCGTCAGCTGGTCACTCTGAACAAGATCTCGGATGAAGAAATGACGAAGTTCGATGTGCTTGGTGCGAGAGTGGAACACAGGATCCTTGGTGAGGTGAATGACACTCTGGTTGTCACACTACAGGGTGGGCGACTGCTGGGGGTAGCCTAACTCAGCGAGGAGAAAGGAGAGCCAGCGTGCCTCTTGAGCAGCCATTGTGCCCGCGTAGAGCTCGGCCTCGCAGGACGACAGGGAGACTGCAGAGGACGGAGTGGAGCGCCAGCTGATGACTCCGCTACCAAGGGTGAAGCAGTACCCTTGGGAGGAGCGTCTGTCAGTCTGGTCATCGGCCCATGAGGAGTCTGTGTATCCCTCGAGCTTGACTGGAGAGGTACCACCAAGAGTGAGGATGTGAGACTTGGTGGCTTGTAGATAGCGCAGGACCCTCTTGGCTGCAGACCAATGCGAGGCAGTGTAGTGTCCGGGGGAGACGTACCGAGAGAGGACACTAACCGGGTAAGCCAAGTCTGATCGAGTGCACATCATGGCATATATGAGTGAACCGACTAGCTCAGGGTACGGGTCCTTGGAGGCGTCACGAGAAGGAACAGGAGGGGCCGTGAGCTGGTGCTGTAGTGGGAGTGGAGTGGAGACAGAGTTACTGGAGTCCATGTCGAACCGCTTGAGAAGGTTGTCGATGTACGACTCCTGGGAGAGGGTGATCGTGCAAGCCTGGCGGTCACGAGTGATCTCCATCCCCAGGTAGTTCTTGAGGTCACAAAGATCGTTCATGAGAAGGGCGGCGCCGAGAGCAGACTGGACAGCTGCCATGTCGGCTGGATCTCTGGCGGCTAGAATGAAGTCGTCGACGTAGACGAGGATGTAGAAGGGATCGGAGGAGTGACGAACGAAGAGACTGGAATCTGAGGCAGAGGGATGGAAGTCAAGTGCGAGGAGGACTTCCTTCACCTTGTTGTGCCACTCACGAGGAGCCTGCTTGAGGCCATACACTGGGCGCTTCAGCTTCCACACTGTGTTGGCAGGGTAAGTGCCAGGAAACCCTGGTGGGCGTTCCATGTGAACATCCTCCTTGAGCTGGCCTTGGAGAAAGGCGGAGGAGGCGTCCCTGGACTTGATCTCGAAGTTGCCGCGAGCGGCTATATCAAGAAGAGCGCGCACAGACGGGAGCTTGGCCGTGGGCGAGAATGTTTTGAAGAAGTCGAGATAATCCTTCTGGGTGAAACCCTTCGCCATGTATCGTGCCTTGAACAGTGGAGCTTTGCCTGGGAGTTGTTTCACTCGGAAGATCCATTTTCCGCCAACGATGTTCATACCAGTAAGGGGAACGACATCGTCAAAGCTGTTGTTGCAAATAAACGTCTCCTTCTCGGATCTGAAAATCGGATATTTTGCAGCTTGCAGCGTCAGCTTTCCACTGAAAGCTGAATCACTCGATTCCGTAGCTTATCGAGTGAGCTATGGCGTTTGGCGCACTGGGGGGTAATCTGCCCTATGAGAAATTGACAGTCCCCCTTGCCTCCCACTGCCATTCCCCCTTGCCTCCCACAGCCATTCCCCCTTGCCTCCCACTGCCATTCCCCCTTGCCTCCCACTGCCATTCCCCCTTGCCTCCCACACCATTCCCCTTGCCTCCCACTACAATTCCCCCTTGCCTCCCACAGCCATTCCCCCTTGCCTCCCACTGCCATTCCCCCTTGCCTCCCACTGCCATTCCCCCTTGCCTCCCACTGCCATTCCCCCTTGCCTCCCACTGCCATTCCCCCTTGCCTCCCACAGCCATTCCCCCTTGCCTCCCACTGCCATTCCCCCTTGCCTCCCACTGCCATTCCCCCTTGCCTCCCACTGCCATTCCCCCTTGCCTCCCACAGCCATTCCCCCTTGCCTCCCACTGCCATTCCCCCTTGCCTCCCACTGCCATTCCCCCTTGCCTTCCACTGCCATTCCCCCTTGCCTCCCACAGCCATTCCCCCTTGCCTCCCACTGCCATTCCCCTTGCCTCCCACAGCCATTCCCCCTTGCCTCCCACAGCCATTCCCCCTTGCCTCCCACAGCCATTCCCCCTTGCCTCCCACTACAATTCCCCTTTGCCTCCCACTGCCATTCCCCTTTGCCTCCCACAGCCATTCCCCCTTGCCTCCCACTGCCATTCCCCTTGCCTCCCACTGCCATTCCCCCTTGCCTCCCACAGCCATTCCCCCTTGCCTCCCACAGCCATTCCCCCTTGCCTCCCACTGCCATTCCCCTTGCCTCCCACAGCCATTCCCCCTTGCCTCCCACTACAATTCCCCCTTGCCTCCCACTGCCATTCCCCCTTGCCTCCCACAGCCATTCCCCTTGCCTCCCACTACAATTCCCCCTTGCCTCCCACTGCCATTCCCCTTTGCCTCCCACAGCCATTCCCCCTTGCCTCCCACTGCCATTCCCCCTTGCCTCCCACTGCCATTCCCCCTTGCCTCCCACAGCCATTCCCCCTTGCCTCCCACAGCCATTCCCCCTTGCCTCCCACTGCCATTCCCCCTTGCCTCCCACAGCCATTCCCCCTTGCCTCCCACTGCCATTCCCCCTTGCCTCCCACTGCCATTCCCCCTTGCCTCCCACTGCCATTCCCCTTGCCTCCCACAGCCATTCCCCCTTGCCTCCCACTACAATTCCCCCTTGCCTCCCACTGCCATTCCCCCTTGCCTCCCACAGCCATTCCCCCTTGCCTCCCACTACAATTCCCCCTTGCCTCCCACTGCCATTCCCCTTTGCCTCCCACAGCCATTCCCCCTTGCCTCCCACTGCCATTCCCCCTTGCCTCCCACTGCCATTCCCCCTTGCCTCCCACAGCCATTCCCCCTTGCCTCCCACTGCCATTCCCCCTTGCCTCCCACTGCCATTCCCCCTTGCCTCCCACAGCCATTCCCCCTTGCCTCCCACTGCCATTCCCCCTTGCCTCCCACTGCCATTCCCCTTGCCTCCCACTGCCATTCCCCCTTGCCTCCCACTGCCATTCCCCCTTGCCTCCCACTGCCATTCCCCTTGCCTCCCACAGCCATTCCCCCTTGCCTCCCACTGCCATTCCCCCTTGCCTCCCACAGCCATTCCCCCTTGCCTCCCACTGCCATTCCCCATTGCCTCCCACTGCCATTCCCCCTTGCCTCCCACTGCCATTCCCCCTTGCCTCCCACTACAATTCCCCCTTGCCTCCCACTGCCATTCCCCCTTGCCTCCCACAGCCATTCCCCTTGCCTCCCACTACAATTCCCCCTTGCCTCCCACTGCCATTCCCCTTTGCCTCCCACAGCCATTCCCCCTTGCCTCCCACTGCCATTCCCCCTTTCCTCCCACTGCCATTCCCCCTTGCCTCCCACAGCCATTCCCCCTTGCCTCCCACAGCCATTCCCCCTTGCCTCCCACTGCCATTCCCCTTGCCTCCCACTGCCATTCCCCTTGCCTCCCACTGCCATTCCCCCTTGCCTCCCACTGCCATTCCCCCCTTGCCTCCCACTGCCATTCCCCTTGCCTCCCACTGCCATTCCCCCTTGCCTCCCACAGCCATTCCCCCTTGCCTCCCACTACAATTCCCCCTTGCCTCCCACTGCCATTCCCCCTTGCCTCCCACAGCCATTCCCCTTGCCTCCCACTACAATTCCCCCTTGCCTCCCACTGCCATTCCCCTTTGCCTCCCACAGCCATTCCCCCTTGCCTCCCACTGCCATTCCCCCTTGCCTCCCACTGCCATTCCCCGTTGCCTCCCACTGCCATTCCCCCTTGCCTCCCACTGCCATTCCCCCTTGCCTCCCACAGCCATTCCCCCTTGCCTCCCACTGCCATTCCCCCTTGCCTCCCACTGCCATTCCCCCTTGCCTCCCACTGCCATTCCCCCTTGCCTCCCACTGCCATTCCCCATTGCCTCCCACAGCCATTCCCCCTTGCCTCCCACTGCCATTCCCCATTGCCTCCCACTGCCATTCCGCCTTGCCTCCCGCAGCCATTCCCCCTTGCCTCCCACTGCCATTCCCCCTTGCCTCCCACAGCCATTCCCCCTTGCCTTCCACTGCCATTCCCCATTGCCTCCCACAGCCATTCCCCCTTGCCTCCCACAGCCATTCCCCCTTGCCTCCCACTACAATTCCCCCTTGCCTCCCACTGCCATTCCCCCTTGCCTCCCACAGCCATTCCCCCTTGCCTCTTACTGCCATTCCCCCTTGCCTCCCACTGCCATTCCCCCTTGCCTCCCACAGCCATTCCCCCTTGCCTCCCACAGCCATTCCCCCTTGCCTCCCACTGCCATTCCCCCTTGCCTCCCACTGCCATTCCCCCTTGCCTCCCACTGCCATTCCCCATTGCCTCCCTCTCTCTCTCTCTCTCTCTCTCTCTCTCTCTCTCTCTCTCTCTCTCTCTCTCTCTCTCTCTCTCTCTATCTCTCGCTCCTGTCTCTCTCTCTCTCTCTCTCTCTCTCTCCCTCTCTCTCTCTCTCTCTCTCTCTCTCTCTATCTCTCGCTCCTGTCTCTCTCTCTCTCTCTCTCTCTCTCTCTCTCTCTCTCTCTCTCTCTCTCTCTCTCTCTCTCTCTCTCTCTCCCTCTCTCCTTCTCCCTCTCCCTTTTCCTCTCCCCCCCCTCCCCCCCCCCCCCTGCCCTTCGTCTTGCATCTCCCATTGCCATCATATGGATGCTGATTGCATATCCAGGAAGATCTCTCGGCTGTTGACAAGGAGTTCATCATGCGGACACCAGGCATGCAACAGCTGATTTGTGCCCAGCCTCCCCCCGTCGGTGGTCGACGCGGGGATACGATCCAGAAGCGGTTTTTCGACCTTCGACGTCGAGGTAGGCAATCCTCCAAGCCCGCCGCGATGTCAAGCCGGACCAGCGCGCGCGCTGGTCGTTTGTTTATTTACACCAAGTTCACTCAGCGCCCCCCTCCTCGTGTGACCCCATGCCCTGTTGAGTCGCGAACACCTTCCCTTGTATCTCACAATTCTTTGTGGTGCTACCCCCGTGTGCAATGTTTATTGGCAGTGCGCCCTATGGAGGTGGACCATTGAGGGCCAGAGATGGGGGAATCCGTACCTTGCTGTCATGCCGGATATTATGCACCAGGCGGACCTGGGCCTGCTGGACCATATTGTGAAGTGCATCCGACAGATTGTCCCAGGCGAGCTAAAAACCCTTGACGAGTAAGCCGGCATCCCATAACTGAAGCATCCTCTCCTTTTTGTGTCTATTCGTTGTATGGGCTATTAGACAGCGGCCCTGCAGCCCCATCTTTCTCGTGCTCCACTTGTCCTCAGCACCATCTGTCCTGCCCCACCCCGGTTCCAAGTTTATACCCCTATACTCTGCATGTCTCTCCCTCCCTGACAGTCGCCTAAAGGATGTTCGTGTGGCCACCCGCATTCCATGTTTGAGGCTGCCACTGAGCGCCTATTTTGTTAGCGGTGGCGCCCAGACGGCTGCCTTCGAGCACAGAGCTGTAATGCAGGTATGACTCCGGCTAACTTTGCAGTGATGCACCCAACTTGGGTGCGCCACTACGAAGTTCCCCCTTGCTACTTCACACCACCTATGTCTCATCTACCGTCCCACCTTGTGCACACCGGCGCCCCGTTCCCTTTGTTCCCTCCTGCTCAACGCATCTCTACCCCTCCCCCATCATTGCTGCACCTCTACCACCCTTCATGAACCCCCCCTGTCCATACTTCACCACTGCCAGTGTTGATTCTTTTATGCTGCCCAATCCTTTTGGCCGTCATTGGGAGCGTCACCTCCACCGCGACTACATTTGTTAGTCACCTCATTGCCTCCACAGACAATGCCTCCACAGACCAAACATGCCATGCACCACCCCACACACCCTCTCCACCCCCACCCCCCCCCACCCCCCCCCCCCCCCCCTCCCCCCCTCCTTGCTCCCCACGATTCCACCACCCCCGCCGTGTTTTGCAGGTCCTAATCTTCCTGGTCGCCGACAAGCTCGGCGCGCCTCAACTGGAGGCAATCAGAGCGTACCTGGACTGGTACCTAGCCTGCTACGCCCCATCTCACACCGAACGCTCCCTGCATGCGTTGCAGGGAAAAACAGAGAGGTATGTTCACCCGATCCTTACTCTGCCTTATTCCTATCTCGCTCACCGCCCCCTGCTGGTCCTTGTGCTCCTCGCCTAGTCAGTCGTTTTATATCTGTCGTGCTCTGAACATCTCCTGAACGTCTCTTATTACGATGGCCACACCGTTGCAGGCTTGTGGAGCTTCTTAAGTCGGCATTTCCGGAGCAGGTTTCGGCCTGGAACCTCATCAAGACCCACCTTATGCCCCACTTTATAGATTCGATTCGTAGGGCAGGATATGTGCAGGAGTACAGCACGAACGTCTTCGAGCACCTGCATGGACCGCTCTTAAAACAGATCTATAGGCGCTCGAACAAACGAAACGTAGATGTCCAAATAATGAAGCACCACGAAATGCGTCTAGACTTCACCTGCATTGATGAGAACGAGAACGCACGACAAACAGCCATGCAAAAGGTAATGTAGCTGCCAATGTGTGCCTCATCTTGTTCGTGCATGCTTAATTCGTGACTGCTTCCCACGTGCAGGCGATCCAGGGAGGCATCAGAGTCATGACCAAGGATTCCTACTACTTCCCAGTGGATCCGGTGGTGGCAGTTAGGCCACGAAACTGGTTTGCACGGATGTGGACAGAGCAACACAGCGAGGCACATAGCAGTTTCCAGAATGCACTCGCACGGCATCCGGCGCGCTTCACGCCAACCATAGTCAGAGTAAGTAGCATGGCAACGAAGCATGTACAAGGGTTGCCTCAACCTCAATCTATCACTAACTAGGTAGCCACTTTATTCTTGCAGGCCCATACCACTCTCGCTATACCAGCAGCAGAAGAAGAGGGGTATGCAGGCACCGCACACTTCGTGAAAGCAACGCCCAGGTCCCACGACAAGCCCTGGTTTTCTGACGTGGCAATTAAGGGACTAACAGGTGACGGGCGAGAGATGGAGTGGTATGGACGACTTTTGTTGCTATTCCAGATCAAGAGGCGCGGGGTTGTCCATGAGCTGGCTTATGTGAGGTATTGGACTGTGACAGGTGAGGATGCAAAGACCGGATGTCGTCGCCTCCTCTGGACACCAGGACCTTCGCAGTATTCCGTCATCGACTGCGACACAATCAAGCGACAAGTCCATGTGGTGAAGTCGTTTCATAGCCAGAACGCTTTCCATATGAATAAGTTTTTGCTGATGTAGTAAGCCATTCTTAATAATAAGTGCTGAGAAAGCCAATGGGTGAATAAATTGTACACATACAACAATTCTTAACTTTCGTATTACTAGCAAGTAATACACAACCCTAAACTTGAAATTAGGTCTGAGTTTTGACCTAAACGAAACCAGAATACAGATGTTCTATCATGACTAAATTTCAGCGGATTTGAGTGAAGGTAAAGTCCGAATTCGTTGAGCCGAGCCGCGTTCAACTGGGCGAGATGGGCGCGAAGCACAATTAACCAATTGACAGCACTCGCGAGACGATTTCGTGAGGGGTTGGACGAAAATTGCGTGCCCCCTCCCCGCCAACCCAACTTCCGAAGCCAACTTCGCGATCACGCCACCAAAACAAAATGAGCCTTTTTTGTGATGAACTGAGCCGCAGCCTCGTGGGGGCCGATGTGGCTGCCCAGGACCCGCAGTCCAGAGTCGCGGAACGGGATGCCGGGGGGTAGGAGGGAGGGAGGGGGTTGGGATTGGGACCAGGCCGCGCACTTAGATGGGTTGTGCGTGAGGCCCAGGGGGGTCAGAGCGTCAGTGAGGTGCGTGAACGCCGCTGTGCTCACTGCCGGCTCGCCTAGCAGCGTGATGTCGTCAGCATACGCTAGGCACAGGACGCTGGGGTACGCTGCGGCGGTCGCTTGCAGGGCGGGGTGCATGGCGGCGGCAAAGAGCAGCGGACCCATAGGATCCCCTTGCCGGACGCCTCGAGCGCTGAGCAGGGGCGGGCTGTTGAAGCCGGCGTCGAGGTACAGCTGGGAGGGGGCGCCGTACGAGAGTTGGACGAAGGGTAGGAGAGGGCGGAGGGGGGAGTTATAGAGGCCCGAGACGATGGCGCTGCGATCAACGCTGTTAAAAGCGTTGGTGAGGTCGATCTGCAGTAGGAGCGAGGATGGTCGCTCGGTGGCGAACGCGCGGGCCCCGTGGATTATTGCCTCTCCGCCGGCCTTTACCGCGACGCCGAACTGCAGTGGGAGAAAGTGATTGCGCGCCCGATCCGCCATCGAGATGAGTCCTGCTTTGGCGGCAAGGCGGTGGAGGCACTCGCCCACGGCGATGGGGCGCGTGCCTCCGTCGGGTTTAGGGAAGGCGAGTAGGCGGCTGGCTGTGAGGAGTGCTGCTACGTCAGGAGTGGAGTCGCCCCGCAGCAATTGAGTTACGAGGATGTGGAGCTTGCTGGCGACGGCGCTGCTGGCGAGGGCTGCATCGCGAATGTGTTCGAAGCACATTCCCGAGGGGCCCGCGCCGACCCCGTTTTCGCTGCGACTCAGTAACCTGGTGAATTCTGCGAGCGTGAGGGAGGGGGGGACCTCCGACTCGGCGATGTGTGGCCAAGCGAGTGACTCAGTCAGCGGCGGTGGATGCTTGGTTTTCAACGCCTCGAGGACTTCCTGTGTTGACTCGCTGACCGGTGTCGAGTCGAGGGCCAGCAGGGCGCGCCTCAGGCTGCCTCGGCGGACCAGCCCCTCGGCTCGAGATATTTTGCCGAGGGTGTCCCCTGTGTGACGTGGCGCCGGTGGGTCGTGGATGGCGTCCACCGCTGCCAGGTAAAGCTCGTGCCAATCGCCTGCCAGGAACTGCTGGAGCCTTTTTTCCACCGTGGGCCAGTCAGGGTGCTTTGGCGAGTTGAGGCGAAGTGTCAGTCGAGGTGCGAAAAGTAACAGGCGCCAGCCTGGCAGGCTGGTAGGTTGGGCTGCGAGGTGGAGGAGGGGTGTCAGCAGGACGAGGGCGAAAAGCTGGCGAAGTTTGGGGGGGATCTTGCGGGAAAGGGGGGGTTGGCGACTGTCGCAGAGGAGCCCGATATCCCAGCTGGCTACCCCCGCGAAAAGCTGTTCGTTGGCAGCTAGCTCTGCTGGCGGAATTTGTCGCTGGGGTTGGCTGGGCTGTTCTGTGGGGTCCCGCTCGTTCCGTGCGTTCGGCCTGTTTTCAGCCGCGGGAGCTGGGGCGTGCCGTGTGCGTCGCGACGCTTGTCCCCGAAATGCTCCGTCTCGAGCGTCCCCTTCGGATCCCTCAGTGCCTGACTCGTACTGTGATTCCTCTCTATAAGTCGGGTCCCTCCTCTCCTCCTCGTCAGTTGCTTGTTCCCTCCGTCTCGCCCTTAAAGCCCGTCCTGCAGCCCTCTGGAAGTCGTTCACTGGCCCTCCCCCTGCCATGAGCTCGTTTGCCCTGCTGCGCTCTCTCCGTTGACCTCCACCCCGTCCCGGGTCTCCTCGCGGCGTTTGTCGCGGCCCGAGGCGCGTCCCTGCCGTCGGTGGGGTGCGGCGGTGAGTGCTCGATGGGAAGCGAAGGGGGGTTTCGCGGCCGTCAGGGGCAATCCGCCGATCTGTCGAGCTCGGCTGATAGCGGGCGCCCCCAAGATCTGGCGAGCTTGGCCGCCTACTCCGCGCCGTTGTGGGAGCGGGGGATCCCCGCTCTCCGAAGCCAGCGGCAGTCGCCGGACCCCGTGTGTTCCCGTGCGGGGAGTGGTTCGGCGGCGCCTGCTCTGCGCGGCGAGCAGGGAGGGACCCTGGGGCCCGAGCGCGCAGAGCGTAGCGGTGGCCCAGCGGGGTCGTCGCCTCGCCACCCGCTGTCTCGGCCGCCGTCACCGCGCCCGCCGTCTCGGCCGCCCTCCCCCTGTCTGCGTTCGTGCTATTCGTCCCCACGGCGTCCGTCGCGTCCTGCCTCCCCGCGTCCGCCGTCGCGTCCGGTGTCCCCGCGTCGGCCGTCGCGTCATTCGTCGCCGTCGCCACCATCCCACGCTCTGCCTCAGCGGCGGACCGAGCCGCTGCCGTTCTTGCAGCTGCCGTCGCGTCGCTCTCCCCCCCCGCAGCCGGCTCCCCGCCGATCTCCGGGCTGTCTTGGTCCGCCTGCTGCACAGCCCTGGGGGACTCCTGGGGGCGGCGGCCGTGCTGGACCGCGTCGCGGCCGTCGCGCCGGCCTTGCCGCGCGGACGGCGGCTCTTGAGCGCCAGCTGGCGACCAGCGCGCGGACCCTTGAAGGCATTCTAAGTGGCGTTCAGGCGCTTGCTTCGACCGCGCCGATGGGAGGGGCTGCACAGACCGCGCCCGGTGCGTTGCAACCGCGTCCGTGTCATCCGTTCCCGCCTCTCCTCGCCCCTCCGCATCCGCCGTCGCTGTTTCCGGCGAGTGCGCCCGTGTGTTTCCAGCCGGCGTCGGCGCTCCTGGGACCTCCGCCGTCTGTGTACCGCGGGGCTCGTCTTCCCATGGCGCCTCCCACCCTGGACACACCGGCGGCCTCCAGTGGAGCGCTCCCCGAGTGGCAACCACCTCCGCAGTCCTTCGTCCCCGATCACTGGGCTCCGGGGCTTCCCGCCCGTGCGTCGGGTGTGGGGGTGTATGGGCCCTTCGTGCCACCTCGTCGACTGGCGGTGTCCCCAAATGGAGTTGAGGAGGGGGCAGAAGCAGCGGAGACGGGGGGGATGGAGTCGTCGGAGGAGATCTCCCCCGGGTTCCGTGCCCAGTCCCGGACCCAGCTCCCAGTGGGTACGCGGAGCCAACCGGGGGCGCAGGAGGACGGTCTGCCAGGCAGGCGGCAGACGGGGCAGGTGGTCGCGGTTCCAGCAGCCACGTTCCGTCGGATGTGCCAGACGAGGAGGGCGTTTGGGCTGCTGGCGGTGGTCGTGGAGGCGACGCACTCCGCGCTGCTGGGGTCAGAGAGCTCCCGAAAGATGCAGCACTCACACTTGCGGACGAGTTCGGACGCGCTTGCGGACCTCGTGGTGGTGATGGGGCAAGCGCTGCCCGTGCCCGGCCCGGGAAATGGCTTGGACCCGGCCGTGGCCGCCGCAATGAAAGCGATGTCGGAGAGCATCGCGTTGGCGTCAGCCGTAGATCTCGCAGGCAGCTGCGCGTCCATGCTGCGGGTGCTGGTGGGCCTACTGTCGGCGCAGCTGGAAGAGGCCGCGGGGTTCGAGTGACGGGGTGGCGTCTCGCGTACGTTCGCGGGCGGCCCGCGTCAGCGGCCGTCTGGGAGGTTGGCGAGCGTCCCGTCAGTAGTAGGAGTCCCTCCATGCTGGTGGCATTGGAGCGGGCGCGGTAGGGATTTGTTGTGCCCTTGGGGCTTGGTGCTTGTATTGAAAACGGAGTAGTCGTTTCCTGGTGTTCTTGCCGTCCCCGAACGCGCGGCCGAAGGCCGCGCTGCGAGCGGCGGCGGCCGGAGGCCGCCGACGCGAGCCGCTGGCAAAGGAAGGAGAAATGAGAACTGAACTCAAAACAGAGGAGAATGAGAGGGAGAGGGCCTTATATAGCTTGGGAACCCATGCTCTCTCTCTCTCGCTCTCTCTCTCTCGCTCTCTCCGCTGGCAAAGGAAGGAGAAATGAGAACTGAACTAAAAACAGAGGAGAATGAGAGGGAGAGGGCCTTATATAGCTTGGGAACCCATGCTCTCTCTCTCTCGCTCTCTCTCTCTCGCTCGAGCCGCTGGCAAGGAAGGAGAAATGAGAACTGAACTAAAAACAGAGGAGAATGAGAGGGAGAGGGCCTTATATAGCTTGGGAACCCATGCTCTCTCTCTCTCTCTCTCTCTCTCTCTCTCTCTCTCTCTCTCTCTCTCTCTCTCTCTCTCTCTCTCTCTCTCTCTCTCTCTCTCTCTCTCTCTCTCTAACTCTCATTCCACTCCCAGGGGGATAGAACCAGCGCAAGCACGTGGACAGTGCGTTTGGATCAAGTGCATCCAGAGTGGTCGCCCGTCTGTTTTTCTCCCATGCTGTATTCCCGCTCATTTCATTCCCAGGGGGATAGGACCAGCGCCAGCACGTGGACAGTGCATTTGGATCGGGTGCATTCGGAGTGGTCACCCGTGCTTCGCTATACAGACTACGTGCTTTTTGGCATTGGCCCATGGTACACTATTGTGAGTTTTATATGCAATCAAATGATGCAATACGGTGTACATTGGTCACCTGTGCTTCAATGTACAGACTGTGTGTTGTTTGGGATCGGCCCGTGGTACACTATTGTGAGTTCAGAGGTACGCCATTGTATGTCATATGATGCTCTATAAGACGACAACACAATACAGTAAACTATGGAGGGCTTGCCCGTGCTTGGCCATACGGCTGTTAAAGAAGCACAGGCGAACACTTCTAATGGCCGAGGTCATTTTGCCCCTCCTACGGCGCCTAGCCATTATGCAGACAGCTCTCCATGGAGCCACCCTCTTTGCACCTCCGCTTCCAATGCTCAGGCCAATCCAAAGGGGAGGCACTGCATGGTTGGCAACAAAGAGCGACCCAACACGCACATCGCTCAGCACGAGTGCACAGAAATCTATTCTCCGTTCGCCCCACCTCACCACGCAGGCTGATTCCAAGAAGTGGCACTGCATGCTTGGCAACAAAGAGCACCCCAGAATGTGCTACGTAGAGACCATGCTGACAGCCCTCCATATGTCACTTACTTTACACGCAGACGCAGCATCAACTATGCCGCATGATTTCATCATGCGCTATCACATTCTGTCTGTCTCCCATCCTATGTTTCTCTCTTGCATATGTGGTTTGTATATGCAAATGCATTTGTGTTGTGCGTTTTGGACTCTGTGAATGAGTGTAATTTCTGTTTTGCTTGAGCAGATCTCCGAAAGATTCTTCGTTTGGAAATATGTTCAATGTACCAAGAGTCGCTCAATTTTAAAAAGCCCTGAAAAATCAAAGTCCATACACTTTTGCTATATTGCTGCAGTGACAATGAAAGTCAGTGGGGCAATAAAGAGTACACGGACCCCTTTGCCCCTCCACGTCCCCGTGCAGGCGGATCCCAAGAAGCGGCACTACATGGTCGGCAACAAGGAGCGTCCGAGCGGCCCCACATGCACCGCCTGGCACAAATGCCGTCATCTCCCTTCCACCCTTCACCCTGATCCTTCCTCTACCCGCACTACTCAGGCGGATCCAAAGAAGCGGCACTACATGGTTGGCAACAAGGAGCGGCCCAACATGCACCACCTAACCGCCATGCAGACAGCCCTCCACACGGTCGCTCGCTTCACCCGCAGCATCAACTACTCGGGCATGCCCATGCTGCTCACCTACTCCCCCGTGCACAACCACGTGCGCGTCAACAGTACCGCGCCGGAGCTCGGCTGTAGCTCGTTCATGCGGCCGGTGGCGGCTGATGCCCTGCAAGGCGCAGAGTGGGCTACAGACGCCCGGGAGGCACGAAACGCACAGATCGAGGTGAGAGTGCTGGGGGCTGAGGGGGGTGCGGTGGTATTGGCTGTAGCGCGTTACAGATGCCCTGGAGGCGCCAAGGGCACACATAGAGGTGAGCGCTGGAGGGGTGATGGTTGGTGAACAGCCGAGTGCGGCTGTAGTGCGAGCATGCGGCTTCTCCCTCGGGATGGCCTGCAAGGCGCAGAGTGGGCTGCAGATGCGCTGGAGGCGCGAATTGCACAGGTAGAGGTGAGAATCATGGGGTGCTGAGGGGGGCGCGGTGATATTGGCTGTAGCGCGTCACAGCCACCCTGGAGCGCTAAGGGCGCGGATAGAGGTGAGATTTGGATGGATGGTGGTGGTTGAACAGCAGTGCACTGGAGCTCTGCTGTAGGCCGTTTCGCAGGGTGTTTTTGAGATTTCTCAAAAACACCCTGCAAAATCATGGTTATTGAACAGCAGTGCACTGGAGCTCTGCTGTAGGGCGTTTCCTGCGGCCGCTAGTGCCAGATGCACTGCAAGGTGCAGAGTGGGCTACGGGTGCACTGGATGCACGAAGGGCACAGATTAAGATGAGCTGTGGAGGGGTGTTGAGGTGTGTTGTGCGGTTCAACAGGCTGTAGCACTCTCATGCTGCCGCTACAGCCGGAGGCTGTGAGAGCTACAGCTGGAGCAGAGTGGGCTGCAGATGCCTGGTTGGACGCTGTGTGAGTGCTCATTTTAAGGGGAGACTAGGTGGGGTGATGGACAAGGGGCGAGATACAGGCTTTGAGTGCGCTCAGTGCGTATTCTTGGAAGTAGCATCAGAATCAGATTCGCGCGATACAGTGCGTTGTCAAGTGCCGAAATGCGCATTTCAATGCAGTCCAGTTTGGTAACATGCGAATCTCATTCTGGTGATACTTCCAGGAATACGCCCTCAGTTGGGAAGCCAGGGAAACAATGTCAAGGTTAAAGATTCGGATGTTGAGGTACAGTGGAGGGGTGGGATGTTAGAGTGGTAAATTTGCTACAAACTTTGTGTACATCCGGGTATTTGGTTTATCTTATGGGTTGCAGGTGATGCAGCAAGCAAAGGAGTTCAAAGTGTTGGATGTGACGGCATTGTCGGCTTTTCGACCGGATGGGCATCTGCAAAACCATTGCGAATCTAAGAAGGCTGTAGATTGCTTGCATTGGTGTATACCTGGCATACCAGACACGTGGTCCGATATTATATATTCCTATGTTATGGAGTATATGTGAGAAGCCGGATTGCAGTAAACTACATCATTTATGATATGATCCATTTGCAAGCACCACAATAGCAGTATTTGCATGAGGCTATTCTATGTGCCGTGTTGGGTTGGGCCTTACTGGGTGATTCTGCAACAAGTACTATCCATCCAGGTGCTACACAATGAACATAAAAACGTATGCCATACTATGTTAATTAATAGGAAAAATTGATGTGCCCGAATTTTCATTCGAAGTCAAATGCCAAACCAGAATTAAGAGAAGGTAATAACAGGTGGGAGTTACAACCTACCTGCATGATTTGTGACATAGTTATATACAAGATCAGACCACATATCAGGCACACCAGGTACACACCAGTGAGCACAATCAAATCCGCCATCCCCTTTATTGAAGTTCTTGAGATGCGCATCAGGGCGGAAAAGAGTCGCGTATGTAATGTCTAGAATCTTGAAGTTCCTTGCTTTGCGTAGAATCTGCAAGGGCACTCAACAGAAGGAAACATTGCCAGAAAGGGCAGGCAACACCAACGGACACCCATGCCAACAACAGATTGATGCATTTGCACTTGAAGACTTACATTTCCACTCACGCACATGAAAGCATACACACATATCCACACACCAGAAATACCCATACACAGATGCTCTCACAATTCACTCCCCATTTCCCCCCTCCCTCCCTTTCCCCCCCCTCCCCCCTTTTCCCCCCTCCCCGAACAAAAAATCATGTAAATGTGAGACGTTCCTCACCATATTCCCATTCCCACCTGCACTTGCGCGTTCCGAGTCGTCATGTCGCTCACAGCCCACTCCCTGCGGTCCACCTGGCGCCACCCGATTGGCCGCCACGCGTCCGTGCAGTTATACTGCGCCCCTCTGGCCGCCTCGGAGCCAGCGAGCTCAAACCCATAATGGGAGGAAGTGTAGGTGAGAAACATGGGGAGGCCCGAGTACTTGATGCTGCTGAAGTGGTTGGTTAACGTGGTGAGAGCCGTCTGCATGGTGGTGCGCTGGTCAGGGGTCCACGCGAGCTGCGAGCTGTTGTTGTCGCTGAGGAGATAGTGTCGCTTCTCCTCCCGGGCCTAGAGGGGGGAGGGATGGCGGGGGGAGAGATGGAGGGGGGAGGGATGGTGGGGGGAGGGATGGCGGGGGGAGAGATGGAGGGGGGAGAGGTGGAGTGGGGAGGGATGGCGGGGGGAGGGATGGAGGGGGGAGAGATGGTGGGGGGAGATATGGTGGGAGGAGAGATGGAGGGGGGAGGGATGGAGAGGGGAGGGATGGGAGTGAGGAAAGATGATGGAGTTGGCACATGGGAGAATGGATGGAGGATGGATGGAACAATGGAGATGGCCCAAGGAGGGCGATGACTTTGTGGACGGCGAAGATGTGGAGATGTGGACGGTGAAGAGTGAGATGTGGAGGTGGAGTGCGGGCAGTGTTAGAAGAGGAGGGAGATGGGGAGTAGGGAGGGCGAGAGCGGTAGAGAAGGTGAGAGGGATGTGAGTGAGTTTGCATGCTGCTATGTTATAAGCCGACTCGACCCAGAGCAATGTATACACTGGCGTATCAGTAACCAGTGCTCATTACAAGCTGACTCGTTGAAGCCGTTGACCCAATTTGCGGGATTTGCCTCTGAAAAACGCACTCATGCACCACACCAGCTCGGGAAAAGCAACGCAGCCAAATAGTTTGAAAGGGACGAGTGCATTTTGGGACTTCAGGGTACGCAATCCAACTTTGGGCCTCAAAATCGATAGTCGAAAATTTCAGCCATCAATTTCGACAAACTCGGCCAGTGCTCTTGGCCCAAATTCGGAGGGGACGGAACCCAATCTCCCGACACACTTTTGCATGACCCTATTTCTCCCCAAGTTTTGCTGGGCGCAAGATAAATAATCATGAACAATTTGGGCCAACGGCTTTAAGATGAACGCAGACTGGTGCTGCGGCGTCCCCAATCCAGCCATACACATCAACCCAACCCAACGTACACTGGTGTACCAATAGCCGGTGCTCATGACCACATAGTCTGTGAATGGCAGCAGGTCAGCCCACTCCGGATTCACCCGATCCAGCCACACCGTCCACGTGCTCTTCACGCTCCTCTCGCCCTGGGGAGAGAGAGAATGGGGGCACGAGTAGGGGCGGGGTTCGGAACGTCAGGCACACTGTCCACTTGCTCTTCACGCTCCTCTCGCCCTGATCAGGGGAGGGGAGAAAGAGAGCAGGTTAACAGAGGGAGTGAAAAAAAGGTAGACCAGCCCACTCAGAATACACTCGATCCAACCACGCAATCCACGTGCTCTTGACGCTCGTCTTGCCAAGGAAGGAAAAGAAGGAAAAGCTACATGGTTGAGAGCACAAGATACATACACTTGAAAAAGCATGGCTCTATAGCTGATTGCCCTTGTACGTACAACGGGTTCCCCCGTACAGTCACATGCTTCATATATCATGTTAGACGCTTGGCATTTTCTTATCCTGTTATACATGTCGGTTCGCCATAGAGCAGGAAGGCTGAGGCGATGCGGACGATGGCGGCATTGTAAGATGCACACACGTACCGTACAGTCACATGCATGCCATTGCTCGATGGCCGCCTTTCATTATACGCACATCTGGTTCCCCGTAGAGGAGGAAGGCCGAGGCGATGCGGATGATGGTGGTGTTGTGGGAAGGCACCCGGAAGCCCCTTGCAGGGATTCCAGTTTTGAAAAGAGAGCCGTTGAAATTCTGCAGGCGCCGGGAAAAAGGGGGCGGTGGGGAAAAAGGGAGTGGGGGAGGAGAGGGGGAAGGGGGAAGGGGGAAGGGGAGGGGAGAGGGCGCAGGGGAGGGGGGAGGGCAAGAGAGGCAGGGGCAATAAAGAGGGGTGAGAGGATGGAGTAGGAGGAGGCAGGAAAGCCCTGGCGTGCAGGGACGTGTCAATTACGAAATGCGGGAGAAACATGTTATGTGATTAATAAGTGGGCGTCAGCAGTATAAGATTCAATCACATATGTCCCAAGCAGGGATTACATAGTGGAATATAAGAGAGATAACCGTGCTTCCCACCTGTGCCTGTGCTGTGATTATCATGGTAGACCTTTACGAGGTAAAATTACAATAGATTTATTATATCGCTGTATGATATGGAATAGCGAAACAATAGTGGACAGTGCGTATGATGTAATATTGATATTATGTTCAAGTAACCTATAGAAACCACTTTGTTACCACCATACCCGCGAATCTTCCACAGATTCGATGAGGCGTCTGATGGATGCATGGGGGTTGAGGGCATAGGGCCGTAACCACGATGCTTCCACAACAGCCCCCTCACCTCACCTGAAATGGTGGTTACCACCTCACCTGACATGGTGGTTACCACCTCACCTGACATGGTGGTTACGACCTCACCTGACATGGTGGTTACCACCTCACCTGACGTGATGGGCACCTTACCTGGGTCACTGCGACAGACTCCACGAGGCATCTGAAGGACGCATGCAGGTTGAGGGCGCAGGGTTGCCCACACTGTTGCTACGTATCTGGCATGGTTACCACAGCACGGTAACCGCGATAACACGGGTACCACCACCATATCTGGGTCACTGCTACAGACTCCATGAGGCATCGGATGGACGCGTGCAGGTTGATGACACAGGGTTACCAGCATATAACCACGTGTAAAGCGCGATTACCACCTCACCTGACATGGTGGTTACCACCTCACCTGCGTGACTGCGACGGACTCCACGAGGCAGCGGATGGACACATGCGGGTTGAGGGCACAGGGTTACATGGCACAACAACATACAGTAACCACATGATAAGGTGGTTACTGCCTCACCTGCGCCACTGCCACAGACTCCACGAGGCAGCGGAGGGACGCATGCAGGTTGATGGTACAGGGTTACCAGCATGGTTACCACCTCGCCTGACATGGTGGTTACTGCCTCACCTGTGTCACTGCAACGGACTCCACGAGGCAGCGGAGGGACGCATGCAGGTTGATGGTACAGGGTTACCAGCATGGTTACCACCTCGCCTGACATGGTGGTTACTGCCTCACCTGCGTCACTGCAACGGACTCCACGAGGCAGCGGAGGGACGCATGCAGGTTGAGGGCGTAGGAGTCGCCGACTATCATCAGCACCTTGTTGCGCAGCACCGCCAGGAAGGATGACGGGTCGAAGCTGGTGGGATGGGGATGGGATGATAGAGGAAGAATGAGGGGTTGAAGCTGGTGGGAATAGGTGGAGGGACCATCAGGTTGAGGGTGTAGGAGTCTCTGACTATCATCAACACCTTGTTGCGCTGCACCGCCAGGAAGGACGCAGGGTCGAAGCTGGTTGTTAGGGGGGTGTGGGTTGGGGGTTGGGGGGACTGATGAGAGAATTGCCTTGTTGCGCAGGAGAGCGAGGAAGGACGAGGGGTCGACGCTGGTGGTTAGGGGGGGGGTTGGGGGGGAGGTTTGGTTTGGGGGGACTGATAAGAGAATTGCCTTGCTGTGCAGGAGCGCAGGAGGGCGAGGAAGGACAAGGGGTCAACGCTGGCGGGGGAATGGGGAGAGGGGTTGTGGAGAGTCCAAGAGGGAGGGGCGAGGGGCTGTGGTGAGGGGCTGTGGCGAGGGGCTGTGGTGAGGGGCTGTGGTGAGGGGCTGTGGTGAGGGGCTGTGGTGAGGGGCTGTGGCGAGGGGCTGTGGTGAGGGGCTGTGGTGAGGGGCTGTGGCGAGGGGCTGTGGTGAGGGGCTGTGGTGAGGGGCTGTGGCGAGGGGCTGTGGTGAGGGGCTGTGGTGAGGGGCTGTGGTGAGGGGCTGTGGCGAGGGGCTGTGGTGAGGGGCTGTGCTGAGGGGCTGTGCTGAGGGGCTGTGCTGAGGAGGCGCAGGAGGCGGAGGAGGTGGAGGAGGCGTAGGAGTCGCCAACTATCGTGAAATCCTCGTTGCGCAGCACAGCCAGCAAGGACGCGGGGTCGAAGCTGGTGGGGGGTGGGGGGAGATGGGGATGGGGATGACGTGAGGCAAAATGAGGGGCTGAAGCAAAATGAGGGGCTGAAGCAAAATGAGGGGCTGAGGCAAAATGAGGGGCTGAGGCAAAATGAGGGGCTGAGGCAAAATGAGGGGCTGAAGCAAAATGAGGGGCTGAAGCAAAATGAGGGGCTGAAGCAAAATGAGGGGCTGAAGCAAAATGAGGGGCTGAGGCAAAATGAGGGGCTGAAGCAAAATGAGGGGCTGAAGCTGAAGGCAGTCATTGTTGCGCAGTAGAGCAAAAAAGGATGAGGGGGCGAAGCTGGTGGGGTGGGGATGGGAGAGGAAGACTGAGGGGTTGGAGCTGGTTGCAGGGGGGGGGGAGGGAGCTGGTAGGGGGAAGAGGCGAGGAGGAACCTACACTGGTGATTCCGGGTGTGACTGGTGTTGCATGCGGGTGGGAGATGGCATTTGCAAGATTCCTATCGTGATTCTGGGCGAGCGTCGATGTTTCATGCTGGCGGGAACGACACACTACAGATGGAAACGACTCATGGTTTGAGGCCTTGGCCGGCAGTGATCCACCATTTGAAGCTACAGCCCTCAGTGGCTCACCGCTTGAAGCTACAGCCGGGGATGCGCCATCATTAGTCCAGGACTTCAAGTTTTCCCTGCCAGTTCCTCGCCCAATCATTGTAGTACATGTCAATGCTACAGATGTATGAAACTCCTGCTCGACATCCCATCTTGATTCTGCCGCTGCCACCTTCACTATTTCTGATTTATTACACATTTCCACTGTCTGCTTCCGACGTGAGGAGTCTATTTTTGAGGCGCCTAAAAAATACACATTTCCACTGTCTGCTTCCGACGTCCGAGTATTGATGAGTGTGCGTACAAAGGAGGCCACTGTCAAGATACACGCTGGGGTTGCCCTTGGTCCTCGGGGAAGGGTCACAGGTGCAGAGCCTGGGGGGTTATGGGCGCACTTACCCGCTACTTAACAAGCCCTTTTAACTCAGTGGTCTGTGACTGAGTTCTGATGTGGTGCTTGAGGCTAATCCACCTGTTATTCTCACGGTTGTAGTGCGTGTCAATGCTCGTACAACTGACAATGAATAACTGCTTGACGCTAGAGCTGAGGTTGCCTTACCGTTTCAAGTTACAGCCGGGGATGCGCCACTCGTAGTCCAGGTACTTGAGGTTTTTCCGCCCGTTATTCTCGCAGTTGTAGGTCGAGTCAATGCTCTTACAGCTGACGCCCGTGTACCGCCGTGGCTGCCAGCGAGTGCGCACCCACCTGGGGGGCAATAGGAAGAGGGGGAAAGAGGGGAGGGGGAGAGGGGGAGAGGGGGAAAGAGGGGAGGGGGAGAGGGGGAAAGGGGGGGGGGGGGGAGAGGGGGAAAGAGGGGTGGGGGAGAGGGGGAAAGGGGGGGGGGGGGAAGAGGGGGAAAGAGGTTAGGAGTGAGGGAGTAACAGCTGAGGCCCGTGTGCCGCCGCGGCTGCCAGCGAGTGCGCACCCACCTATGCGGGTGAAAGGGAAAACGAAGGTGGAAGGTGGGGAGGAGGAGGAGCGTGGGAATAGTCGATGCATCCACAGCTGACGTTTGAGTCGACGAAAAAGTCCCCTGAAGGGGGGGAAAGGGAAAACGACGGTGGGTAATGTGGAGGAGATGGAGCGAGAGAAGAGTTGATGCTTCCACGCGTGAGGAGTCTATTTTTGAGGCGCCTCGAAAATAAACTCCTTTTGAGGCGCCTCAAAAATAGACTCCTCTCGACGGTGGGTAATGTGGAGGAGATGGAGCGAGAGAAGAGTTGATGCTTCCACAGCTGTAGCACCCAGCTGTAGCCGTGTAGCGGCGCGGCTACAAGTGGGTGCGCACCCAGCTGAAAGGGTGAAAATGCAAGGGCAAGTGGGGCAAGAGGAGACAAAAATGTGGATCTCCCGTATATTGTAGGTATAGTTGTTCGTATAGCAAGGCTACTCCGTAGCAGACGTACCTATGCCGTACCTACTGTATATCTACTCCGTATTTCTGGTCCTGTTGTTTTGGGACAAGAGACGAATTGACGATGGAATGAGGAGAGAGGGTTGATGCTACTGTAGCTGTGGCCCGTGTAACGCCGCGGCTGCCAGCGGGTGCGACCCCAGCTGCACGACAGACGGAATAAAAACGCGATAGAGAGTGAGTGGATAGCAGCTGTAACGAGGAGGAGGAGGAGGAGGAGGAGGAGGAGGAGGAGGAGGAGGAGGAGGAGGAGGAGGAGGAGGAGGAGATCGAATGAGCGGATCGCAGCTTACCGGCCGGCGTTCATATTGCAGCGGCTGGCACCCGCTTTCGGTCTGGCTGCTGTGATAACCCTATCGGCTGCGGTAACCCCGGATGTGGTAACCCCATCAGCTGCGGTAACCCCATCAGCGGTGGAAACCCCATCGGCGGTGGAAACTCCATCGGCGGTGGTAACCCCATCGGCGGTGGAAACCCCATCGGCGGTGGAAACCCCATCGGCGGTGGTAACCCCACTGGATGCGGTATCAGTAACGGACTCCGACATCGTTAGATCAGCTGGCGATATCGCAGCAGATGATGGCGACGCTTGCAGCAGTAACAATGTAACCGACAGCAGCATCGGTAACAGTGTTGCTGACAGCAGGCGCGGAGCCATGGAAGCGAGTAACAGCTGATGAGGCCACGTGGTGCTAGAGCGGCCACGCGGCGACACCTTAGTGGCGAGCTGCAGTGTCGCGATAGACGATTTTTGAGGCGCCTCAAAAATTGCAGTGTCGCGATGGACGAGCATGTTCTGTTGGTCGCGATGTTTCTAGTAGTCAAACGACGTAAACGTCGATGTTTATTCAACCTCTTTCGAACGCAAAATATCGTATCGAACCGTAATCGGGCGTACTTTCGTGACACGCCTTCAGCTGTAACGGATTATGCGGACTGGAAGTAACGCTATCTTCCGTCCGTGCGAGACTGTCAGTTTGACAGAGCAAGTGAGAAGTGCCACCCCCACCCCAGTCAAGGATGAGAGAAATTGGCCGAGTGAATCGATTTGATGATGAAGAGTGGGCAGGACTGCACGAGGAGAGTAGCTAGCGAGACTGAACTGAAGGTGGTGCAATGAATGAAATGGGGGTCACGGCTCACGACACGACTCACGACGACTCACAAATCACATTTCACAAGTCACCACCACCCCGAGCCCACCCATGTCCAGTGCGCCACTGCCCACTGCCTGCCCCTGGTCTTCTTCACTTGTGCATGTATGGAAACGATGGAGGAAGTAAGCCGTTGATGTGTGAAAATCTGTGGAAGAGCTCGTTTTCCCCTCAAACCAAGAGCGAACCGTTCTAGGTTCAAGACGCATCGTTCTGGAACGCAAAGAAACTCACTGAAATGCACGGAAGTGTTTTGGTGTGAATTTGGTGGGGTGGGTGTGTCTGAAGTGTTTTCCGAACCGCGAATTTGGGTGTACGCCGAGTCGCTGCGCGGTGTGTGTGACTGCATCGAGTTCAGGGTTCGTAATTGAATTGCAGTTCGCATCAGATAATGTGTAGAAAAGTGGTGGTGTTGTCTAAGCAAATGCACAACTAAAATTATATCACTTTGCAAATCCTTACTACCTTGCTATACCTTGTATATTGAACGTGCCGCACTACACCCTTACCAGCAAACCCATCAGAATGACATGGAAGAGGATAAATTTGGGCTATTTGGACGGAATGTAACACGCCCTAAATATACGATCACTCCAAAAAGTAGCACGTGCACAGTTGTATACACACTAGCTGCCATTATTGAATTTAGCTAACCACTCCCATGTCACACCTTAGGAGGCTTCACATGGCGCACCACCGAGCCCGCCCCCTCTTTAGTCACAAGCACACCAAACATATCCACCTTCTCCACATCCTCCGTGCTCACAAACGCATAGTCGAACCACCCACGCCTGTCCGTGTACCCATCCTTGTAAAACTCCGCCCCACCCCTCTTCCCCCCATTGCTGCTGCTGCCAAGGGGATGAGAAAACCCTCCTGCCTTCGGGCGGAAGAAAACTTTCACGTACGCCCCAGGCAGTGGCACCAAGGCCCCTTGAGCTGATTGCAGCCTGCCTGCTGCTGCTGTGTTTCCACCTTCACTAGACCCATCTGTAGCCACAGGCGTGGGTGTGGGGATGCGTCGAAGCACTCGCAGTTGCCCAAGCCTCTCCACCACCTCGACCACGAGAGACTCGTGCACCGGCCTGTGACGAGGGATTGGGGGGAACAGGCGGTTGGCACAGGCAGGGAGAGGGATGGGACAGGCAGGGGGGGAGAGGGCGAGAGGTGGATGCAGGGATGAGCTGCAACGCTCGTGCAGCTGCCCAAGCCTCTCCACCCCCTCAACCACAAGAGAATCGTGCACCGGCCTGTGGGCAGAGGGGCAGAGACAAAGAGAGAGGGGAGAACACGGGTAGAAATCACGGGAAGGTGGGGTCAGACCATGGGGTGAGACCATGAGGTGAGACCATGAGGTGAGACCATGAGGTGAGACCATGAGGTGAGACCATGAGGTGAGACCATGAGGTGAGACCATGAGGTGAGACCATGGGGTGAGACCATGAGGTGAGACCATGAGGTGAGACCATGGGGTCAGACCATGGGGTCAGACCATGGGGTGAGACCATGAGGTGAGACCATGAGGTGAGACCATGAGGTGAGACCATGGGGTCAGACCATGAGGTGAGACCATGAGGTGAGACCATGAGGTGAGACCATGAGGTGAGACCATGGGGTGAGACCATGGGGTGAGACCATGAGGTGAGACCATGAGGTGAGACCATGAGGTGAGACCATGAGGTGAGACCATGGGGTGAGACCATGAGGTGAGACCATGAGGTGAGACCATGAGGTGAGACCATGAGGTGAGACCATGAGGTGAGACCATGAGGTGAGACCATGGGGTGAGACCATGAGGTGAGACCATGAGGTGAGACCATGGGGTCAGACCATGGGGTGAGACCATGAGGTGAGACCATGAGGTGAGACCATGAGGTGAGACCATGAGGTGAGACCATGAGGTGAGACCATGAGGTGAGACCATGAGGTGAGACCATGAGGTGAGACCATGAGGTGAGACCATGAAGACAGATGAGTGGAACACAAGATACGAGAAGAAAAGAGCAGGCATGGAGAGAGGGTGGGGGCACCTGAGGTGAAGATGTGTTGTGGCTAGCGAAACAGCACCTGAGGAGAGTAGTAGTGAGAGGAAGAGCGCACCTGAGGAGAGTAGTGGAGAGAGGAAGAGCGCACCTGAGGAGAGTAGTAGTGAGAGGAAGAGCGCACCTGAGGAGAGTAGTGGAGAGAGGAAGAGCGCACCTGAGGAGAGTAGTAGTGAGAGGAAGAGCGCACCTGAGGAGAGTAGTGGAGAGAGGAAGAGCGCACCTGAGGAGAGTAGTGGAGAGAGGAAGAGCGCACCTGAGGAGAGTAGTGGAGAGAGGAAGAGCGCACCTGAGGAGAGTAGTAGTGAGAGGAAGAGCGCACCTGAGGAGAGTAGTGGAGAGAGGAAGAGCGCACCTGAGGAGAGTAGTAGTGAGAGGAAGAGCGCACCTGAGGAGAGTAGTGGAGAGAGGAAGAGCGCACCTGAGGAGAGTAGTAGTGAGAGGAAGAGCGCACCTGAGGAGAGTAGTGGAGAGAGGAAGAGCGCACCTGAGGAGAGTAGTAGTGAGAGGAAGAGCGCACCTGAGGAGAGTAGTGGAGAGAGGAAGAGCGCACCTGAGGAGAGTAGTAGTGAGAGGAAGAGCGCACCTGAGGAGAGTAGTGGAGAGAGGAAGAGCGCACCTGAGGAGAGTAGTAGTGAGAGGAAGAGCGCACCTGAGGAGAGTAGTTGAGAGAGGAAGAGCGCACCTGAGGAGAGTAGTTGAGAGAGGAAGAGCGCACCTGAGGAGAGTAGTTGAGAGAGGAAGAGCGCACCTGAGGAGAGTAGTTGAGAGAGGAAGAGCGCACCTGAGGAGGGTAGTGGAGAGAGCGCCCGAGGTGACGTTGATGAGCACTGCTTCCGAGTCAAACTGCGATGGCAGCTGCACCACCACTCTGCCGCTGTATGTGCTTGCACCTGCAGCACCAGCGGCACCCGCAGCACCTGCAGCACCAGCGGCACCGCTGCCCTGTGGGTCGGGGTGGGAATGGAGGGAGACCATCCCACCAGGTGCAGCACTAGCGGCAGGAGATGCAGTGCCGACCACCGTAGACCAATTCGGCGCAACAAAAATCGATGAGGGACCGCCCACCCCATTCCCCCCCTCTCTTTCTCCCCCCCTCCTACTACCACCACCGGTGCTTCCCTCCCCGCCCCTCCCCCCAACGGCTGCGTCTGAGAGCAGCGTGAAGGGCGAGGAGGAGAAGAAAGTCTCCACGTCAAACGCAAACACATCCACTCGGAAGCTCGCCACATTCGCATACCGCACTCCCACCCCTGCTGCTGCAGCTGCCGTGACTGCACCAGGGGTGACTGCACCGAGCGTGACTGTACCGGGCACGAGCTTGGCCTCCAGGAAGGGCTCCTTGGTGGGCTTTGGCCCTGAGCTTTTCTTGAGGGAGAAGGGGTCCACTGCTGCGCTGTCTCCCTCTGCTGCCTCTGCCAACTGCGCCACGTCAGCAATGTCCTCGTCAGCTGTCCCAGAGGCTTCTGCTGCGTCTCCTACTGCGCCTCCTGATTCTCCACCTTCTGCTCCTCCTGCTCCTCCTGCTGCCCCTGCTGCTGCTGTAGCCCCTGTGAGCACCCAGTCATCGTCCTCCTCCCACTCCCAACCATCGCTTGATTCAGAAATCTCCATTCTGCCCAGCGATGATGCTTCAACCCCTTCCTTCTCGCTCTCCTGTCGCCCCAAGATTTTCTCCTCCTGGACTTGTCCTTTGATCTGCCCCCCACCCCGGGCAGCTCGGGCAGCCATCCAAATTTCAAACACCTGCTTGCCCAGGTCAGCAAAACGCTTCCTCCAGGAAACCACCGGGCAGCTTCCACCACTGCTGCTGCCGTGCTTGTCCACAGCGCGGTACTTTTTCGCAACTGCCCGGGCGACCACGGGCAGGCGGTCGGTCGGGCAGAGGAGAACATCGAGAAAAGCAGCCATGTAATCTGCAGCCAGCTGCACGTTAACTGTAGCGGGGCTGCCAGTAAGGGGGACAGCGGACTCAGCAGTTTCAGCAGCAGCCTCAACAGGGGCAGCACTCCCATTCCCACCACACAGAGCCACCCTCCACGGGCCGGGCAGGGTGAAAATCTTCCCCGACGCGGCCCGGAGGAACATGCAGTGCGCCTCCTTCACCCTGTCTTGCACCAGCAGGTAGTACGCCGCAGCCAGGCTCTCCTCTGGGCCCATCCCGCCTGCCCTCCGCACACACAGCTCCAGGAACCGCGTGTAATGCTCCAACAACTGCTCGTTCCATATGTCGCTCACCCCGGGCTCCTCCTCCCACCCTCCCTCCTCACTCCCCTCACTCCCCTCTCTCCCTGCTCCATCTCTTTCTCCCTCTCCCATCTTCGCTCTCCTCCTCCCCCCGTCCGAACCACTGATTCCGAACCTGTGGGCTCGGGGGTTCAGCAGCGGCATGAACTCCTCATGCTCGTACACCGGACCAAGCCCCGAGCCTATCCCCGAGCCTAGAATGCCGGAGCTGCCATTCAGTCGGTACCGAAGCGACAGCCTTGCTCCGGCGGCCCCAGGCTCGATATGCAGGAGAGAGGAGAGGAGAATGGGCGAGGAGAGGCGAGCAAGGAACGCCTGGTCATAGGCCAAGTACTCAGCTATCCCCTGAGGGTCCTTGTGGAGAAGAGAGTACTGCCAGATGGGGGGGGAGAAGAGCTTGCGGCGGCGGAGCAGGGAGGTGATGGAGTGGTAGAGGGGGGCGAGGGGCATGAGGGGGAGGAGGAGCGCGAGGTTGAGCGAGCGCAGGCTGGCGCTCTGCAGCATGCGCAGGATGTCAACCTCGTTGCCAGCCAGGCAGATCACCTCCCACAGCTCCGCTCTCCGTGCTGCTTCCTCCGCTGCTGATAGGGCTCCGGACCCATCTTGCCGCCTGTGCTGGCCTGCTGCTGCTGCTGATTCTGCTTCTAGCAGCAGGTGCTGCTGCAGCAGCGCCTCCCGCCTCTCCCTCTCCACCCTCTCATATTCGAGAGATGAGAGCACTGGGATGGATGCGGGTACGCCTGCTGCCACTGCCACCACCCTGACTGCACCCCCGTCCGCCTCCTCCCCTTCCCCTTCCCCTCCCCCTCCCCCCGACCCAGCTTCGGGCAGCAGGTGCGCAGGGAAGAGGGAGAAGGTTCCGGGAAAGGGGAAGTAGAAGAGCGCCGTGAAGACGCGCTTCTGGAAGGGGTGCAGCGGCGGCAGGCGTAGGCGATGGGTGGGGCGGCCGAGAGGGGAAATAGGCACAGAACCCTGGGGAACTTGGAATAGTAGCAGGAGAGGCGGGAGCGGGGCGGACTGGAGATTGACTACAACTATTTGGAGTAGGTAGCAGACGCTGGTGCGGTAGGGGGGGGAGGAGGGGAGGGAGGAGGGGTGGATGGAAGGGGTGGTGGAGAGAGAGGAGTGGAAGAGGGGGAGGGGGGTGGAGGAGGAGAGGAGGGAGGAGGATTGGGGGGTGAAGGGGGAGGAGGAGGCAGGGGCGAGGAGAGTGTGGATGGATTGAGAGAGGAGGATGGAGGGGACGCCAGGAGCAATAGAGGGGAGGAGAGGCAGCGGAGGAGGAGGAGAAGGGAGAGCAGAGGGCAAAGAAGCCTCTCTGTTTTCCTCTGCGCCTCCTCCAGCTGCTGCTGCTGCTGTTCCTCCTCCCACCTCACACAGCTCTTGCTTGTACACTACCATGGGCGATGCTGGTGTGATTGTAACAGACGGGCCTCTAAACGAGAACCCATGCTCCCCCCCCTCCACTGCAGCTGCAGCAGACCCTCTTCCTCCGTCCACCCTTCCCCCACTGCTCTCGTTACTAGCCTCCTCGTTACAAGCACCTCTCTGCCTGATCAAGCCCCCAAAGCGGAGCCCAAGGATGGAGAGAGCAGAGAGGGCAGCAGTGGCAGTGGGCCCCACATCGTGCAGCGAGGCCGGGACAAAGGGAGGGAGGGAGAGAGCAAAGGCGGAGAGAGACGCAAGGGGAGAGGCTGCACCAGGTTCGGCAGCCGTTGCAGCAGGTTCGGTTGCCGTGGCAGCAGCTTCGGCAGCGGCAAGGATGTGCCGAATGAAGTCAACCCAGAAGGGGGACGAGGGGATGAGGTCCGGCGTTTGATCTCTAAGATCGCGCTTAAAGTAGTGCGTCTCTGCGTAGCGCTTAGTAACGTCAACCTTGTGGGGGCGCTGGAGGGAAGAATGGGAGGTGAATGAAAAAAAGGACAGAAAGGGGATGAGCTTCGGTGTTTGCTCGCTAAGCGCGCACTTAAAATAGTGCATCACGGTGTAGCGCTTAATGACGTCCTTCTTGTAGGGGCGCTGGAATGGGTGGGAGGACAGAATTGAGAAGGGAAAGTACAGGAGGATAGTGTGACTGAGTAGGAGTTTGTGGCGGTGAATCTTGGCCATCTTGGCCACCTTATGTGCTAAGTGACGTCCACCTTATGTGTGAGTGTGAGATAACATACACACCCTCGCATTCGCGCTGCAATCATCTGTTGGCTCTCAAGGGCACACAGCAGCTAGAGCAAACACTTGCCACACAGAAGAGATGCCTTTTCCTCCACAGCAGCTAGAGCAGACACTTGCCACTTGGTAGATAGACAGTTAACATTGCAATCAATAGCTTCGTTTAATGCCAACAAAGTTACTGAGCTGCTTCAGGTACTAAGTTTTGGTGTTTCTTTGGCGTTTTGTGTTCATGCAACAGGGAAAGCAAAGATACGGCGGATGGAAGCAAGGGGGAGCAAAAGGCGATGCGGGTTTTAAAGTATGCTTACAGTATATGTATTTTTATTTGTGCAGCATTGTGCAAAGGAAAACAATGCGACTTTGATGCTGCCACATGCTCCTTGTGTAATGAGTCGACTCAAAAATCGACTCAAAAATCGACTCATTACACTTTGATGGTGCTACATGCTCCTCTGGAAATTCGTTCAAGGGGGGAGAAAAAACGTTCACTGAAGTTTGGCAATCTTGCTGAAGAGTTGAAAGCACGACACCAGTATGAAATAGACCCTGGGGTCATCATTTCAACCTTTCAGCAAAACTAGTAAACTCTAGAGAACACTTTATCTCCTCCTTTGAATGAATGTTCGGAGAAACATGTAGCAACATCACACTCTTATTTTCCTTGATTGCGCCACTCTTATTCTCCACAATGGTCTGTCAACATATTTTAAACCCCTAGCGTCCTGTGTCTTTCCCTTGCTTCCCTATACCCTTGCGTCCCTTCCCTATATCCTTGCCTTCTCTGACTTGGACACACAACACACAAACAACTTGAGAACAAAATACCTGAAGCAGCTCAGTCATTTTGTTGCCATGAGATGAAGCTCACATTCGTGCTGCTCTCACCTGCTGGCTCAAGGGCATGGGAAGCGATGCCTCCTCGGTCACAGCAGTCCTAGTGACTTTTGAGTCGAATCAAAAGTCACCTCGGTCACAGCAGTCGTAGTGACTTTTGAGTCGAATCAAAAGTCACCTCGGTCACAGCAGTCGTAGTGACTTTTGAGCCGACTCAAAAGTCACCTCGGTCACAGCAGTCGTAGTGACTTTTGAGTCGACTCAAAAGTCACCTCGGTCACAGCAATCGTAGCACCAAAGAAAACGCCCGAGGCAAAGCACCGGTGCTCACTTGTTGTTACACACCTTCGCGTTAGCGCTGCTCTCACCTGCTGGCTCAAGGGCGCGGGTAGAGATTCTGCCTCCTCCACAACAGCTAGAGCACCGAACGAAGGGCCGGAGTCAATCCGCTGGTACTCGCCCGGGGTGCCCATGGTGGCAAAGCACGACGCACAGAGGTCGTAGTCGTCACGACTGGGGGGGAAGGGAAGACAAAGGAGAGGGTTGGGCCGGCGGAAAAGGGAGAGAGGGAGATGGAGGGGAGTCAGGGCAGAAAGGTGCTCCCAAGGTAGAAAGGTAGAACGGTGCTCCCAAGGTAGAAAGGTAGAAAGGTACTCCCAAGGTAGAAAGGCGCCCCGCACATGATCATAGCTTTCACGGCTGGGGAGTGGGGAGAGGGTAGAGGGAAGGCGGACGGGAGCGAAGCAACATGAGGGAGAGGGGAGGGAAGTCCGGTGTGCCCATGGTGTAAGCAATTCCTTGGACATCTTCCAGTGAGCGCGGCAAAATGAGGGAGGACGGCAGCGAAGCAACATGAGGGAGAGGGGAGGGAAGTCCAGTGTGCCCATGGTGACACACCAAGACAGTAGTCATCATGGCATGGGGATTCACGGGGAGCCAGGAGTCTAGTTTTGAGGCGCCTCAAAAGTAGTCATCATGGGATGGGGATTCACGGGGAGCCAGGAGTCTAGTTTTGAGGCGCCTCAAAAGTAGTCATCATGGCATGGGGATTCACGGGGAGCCAGGAGTCTAGTTTTGAGGCGCCTCAAATGTAGTCATCATGGCATGGGGATTCACGGGGAGCCAGGAGTCTAGTTTGAGGCGCCTCAAAAGTAGTCATCATGGCATGGGGATTCACGGGGAGTCAGGAGGGGGATGAAGGGTGGAACAGGGAAGCAACTTTTGAGGCGCCTCAAAACAGGAGGAGGATGAAGGGTGGAACAGGGAAGCAACTTTTGAGGCGCCTCAAAACAGGAGGAGGATGAAGGGTGGAACAGGGAAGCAACTTTTGAGGCGCCTCAAAACAGGAGGAGGATGAAGGGTGGAACAGGGAAGCACGGTGTGCAACAAGCGGCAAAACTGGCGGCACGTCAATCTATCTTGGCGTGAATATGCAGGCTGAATAAGGAAGGCAGAAAAAGATCATAGATATGATATTGCTGGGATATTCTGTGTTTAGGGTGAGAGGGTTCACCTGTGAGAACGGAGAGGAGAGATCGTAAGTCAGCGGGAAGGCAGTAGTGAGAGGCTTGCACGAGGATGGTGGGGTGAAACGAGCGGACAGTGAGAGGCTTACACATGCGAGCGGTAGCGGGGTCCAACGATTGGATCGGCGCCGCAGCCGTCGCAGATGAAACGCATCCCTGCTGCTCCTCCTCCTCCCCCTCCCGGTGCTGCTGACATCGCCAGCATCTTAGGCTGCAGGGAGCCGAGAAGAACGAAGGAAAACTCAAGGTCGTTTTCTATTCTTCGTGTCATCAGAAAATTAGTTATCGCAGCGGATGCTACCATCTTGCCTGTCTCTATGGTTGATTTTTGTAATGAAACTCCCTACTTATCTCAGTGTCTTCTCGTTCTCGTCTCCATCACTACCTACCACCACCTACCTTCCGGCATTTCTGTCTCTCTTCCTCTTCCTCCAATTCCGCAGAACCCTCATCGTCCATACCAGCACCTCCATATTCCCCCAACTCTAGCTCCTCTCCGTATTCCTCATAATTTGAGCTAATTTCGTCCTCCTCTTCCTCCCCTTCCTCCTCTTCCTCTTTCTCCGTCGCTTCATGCAACTGCACACACGCATCGACGCCACGAGCAGCAAAGGCGAGCAGTCCCCAGGTGAGCAGCAGCAGACCAGCAGGAGGAGCAGCAGCGGAAGGAGGGGCAGCAGTGGAAGGAAGAGCAGCAGTGGAAGGAAGAGCAGCAGTGGAAGGAAGAGCAGCAGTGGAAGGAAGAGCAGCAGTGGAAGGAAGAGCAGCAGTGGAAGGGAGAGCAGCAGTGGAAGGGAGAGCAGCAGTGGAAGGAAGAGCAGCAGTGGAAGGAAGAGCAGCAGTGGAAGGAAGAGCAGCAGTGGAAGGAAGAGCAGCAGTGGAAGGAAGAGCAGCAGTGGAAGGAAGAGCAGCAGTGGAAGGAAGAGCAGCAGTGGAAGGAAGAGCAGCAGTGGAAGGGAGAGCAGCAGTGGAAGGGAGAGCAGCAGTGGAAGGGAGAGCAGCAGTGGAAGGAAGAGCAGCAGTGGAAGGAAGAGCAGCAGTGGAAGGAAGAGCAGCAGTGGAAGGAAGAGCAGCAGTGGAAGGAAGAGCAGCAGTGGAAGGAAGAGCAGCAGTGGAAGGAAGAGCAGTGGAGGCAGGGAAGAGCAGCAGCAGCTGAAGCTGTTAAAACTGCTCCAACGCCCCTTGCATGCATCGCACCACTCTCTCCCAAACCGCTCTCCCACCCTTTTGTTTTTGTTATTTTGGTTGACCACCTGTATCTACCCTCCAGCCAATCTTTCGGCAACTGTATCAGCTTGCCCCTAGAAAAAGCTCACTTCTTCTTACTTGCACCCCCGAAACGGCTAAGCGAATGTAGGCACACTAGCAGGACCAAAAACGGGAGGCACTCGCACTCCCAATCCCTAGCACTCTCCCACCCCAGACACCCAGCCAGCGAAAGCAAAAGGTACGCCGGCTTACGCTCCACAGGCACATGGTACGCAGGCAAAAGTCATCCCAGCATGCGCTTCGCGAACCTTGTACGCTTTTAGCACCTGAAACAGCCCACCTCTTTTTTCCTCTATCTCCAAAAGCACCGGGAGCAGTGGAATGGGCAGCCCCAAAAGTGGCAGCAGCAGCAAAGGCCGATTTAAGGCGCCTCAAAACTAGACTCTTATCAAAAGCAGTGGAAAGGGCAGCCCCAAAAGTGGCAGCAGCAGCAAAGGCCGATTTAAGGCGCCTCAAAACTAGACTCTTATCAAAAGCAGTGGAAAGGGCAGCCCCAAAAGTGGCAGCAGCAGCAGCAAAGGCCGATTTAAGGCGCCTCAAAACTAGACTCTAATCAAAAGCAGTGGAAAGGGCAGCCCCAAAAGTGGCAGCAGCAGCAGCAAAGGCCGATTTAAGGCGCCTCAAAACTAGACTCTTATCAAAAGCAGTGGAAAGGGCAGCCCCAAAAGTGACAGCACCCACACCTGGCAGCCTCTTCTTTCCTTCACCTCCTCGAGCAGTGGAACGGGCAGTAACCCCAGAAGTGGCAGCAGCAAAGGTAGCAGCCCCAGAACGGGCTGTAGGCTCAACAGCAGAACCACTAAGGACAGCACCCCCCCTCCCCGTCCACAGCACTCCCCAGTCCAATACACCCACAACAAGCATCAGCCGTGCAGCATACACGGTGCAAGCATCCACCGCTTGACGAGCACCTGAAGCACCTCACCGCTTGACGAGCACCTGAAGCACCTCACCGCTTCTTCGCCTTACCTCCATGGGAGCAGAACGGGCAGCCCCAAACGAGGCAGCAGCAAAGGCTGGAGCAGCCGCAGGAGGGGGATGGGGAGGCGCCCCCCGAAGCCCCCCAGACGAGGCACCAGGGGGAGGGGGAGGGGGAGCAGCGCTACGGGGAAGGGAAGCAGAAGGAGTGCCCTTGGGTGGGGCGCCAGGTTCGGAGGCAGGTTCGGCGGGAGGTTTGGCGCGAGGGCGGAGGTCGCTGCGGCTGGCGAGGGCAGTGGTGAAGCGGCGGTAGGAGGCTGCTGCTGCCTCGGATGCTGCTGCTGGGGTGGTGGGCGTTGACAGGGTTACCAGGTCATCCAGGACTGCAGGAGGGTGGGAAAAGGAGAGGGAAGAAGGGGGGAGAGAAGCTGTCATCGCTGTTGAAACTGGAGGTCACTGCGCTGGCAAGGCAACGGCACTGGTGACGCGATGGTGTGAGGCTGCTGCTGCTGCCTCTGCTGCTGCTGCCCATACTGCTGCCGGATAGCAAGGGCAGTGGTGAGGCTGTTGCTGCCTGTGATGCTAGCGCTGCGGAAATTGCCGTTGACAGGGTTATCAAGTCGTCCACGGGTGGAAAAAGATGGGGAAAGGAGAGGAGCAGTGCATGCGGAAAAAGACAGCCAACCTCAGCAGGCGCTCCACTGCATGTGTGGGGACTCATACCAGCAAGGAGTGAAGACACAAAGGCTTACCTTCACTGGGATGGATGAGGTGTGGCTGGTACGGCCAGTCCAGGGGTCGCAGCCCTCGGTGTTGCAGCAGCACGTGGAAGCACACGGCCAGCCCCAGCAGGCACCTCTCCAAGGCGTTGAGGTTGAGATAGGCGGGTAAGGAGCAGAACGCAAGCACCTGATGCACGTGAGGGAATGCAAGGGGAAGGAGCGAGACGGGAGAGAGGGAATGATGCTGACAATGTTGCCCCCAGCAGACACACCTCCACGGCGTTGAGGCTGAGGTAGGCGGGTAAGAGCAGAACGCAAGCACCTGGTGGGGTGGGGACGGGGGGGCAGCGCAAAGGAGCCATGGGGAGAGCGGGTTGAAGGAGGAGCGCAGTGGCCGCAAGGGGATGGAGAGGGGGACGGGGGCACACAAGCAGCACCAGAGGGTGGCTTCTGCGTGCGTTGTGGTTGAGGTAGGCGGGCACGACGCAGCAGGCAAGCACCCCGTGGGGAAGGGGGGGGCAGGCGACATTGAAAACACAGGCGCCGGCAGGGAGGAGAACACAGGGGCCGGCAGGGAGGAGAACACGGGCCCGCAGGGAGGAGAGGAAGCAGGAGGGGAAGTCGCAGGAGGAGTAGCAGCAGCAAACCGTGCAGCATAGAGGCAGTGTCTTGGTTTGGCATGTGCGAGCACCAAACCGTGCAGCATAGAGGCAGTGTCTTGGTTTGGCATGTGCGAGCACCAAACCGTGCAGCATAGAACCCATCTCACTGCAGCCCACCGCGTCTAGCCGCATCCAACCGCATCTCACCCCGTCAAGGTCGCCCAGCAGCCAGAGGTCCAGAAAAGAGCGATCGAGCTTGGAGGCGATGGCTGGCCGCACTGCAGAATGGAGGGAAGAGGGGGAAGCGGGGGAAGAGGGGGAAGAGGGGGAAGAGGGGGAAGCGGGGGAAGAGGGGGAAGCGGGGGAAGAGGGGGAAGCGGGGGAAGCGGGGGAAGCGGGGGAAGCGGGGGAAGCGGGGGAAGTGAGGTGAGAGGGGAGCGAGGGGGGAAGAGGGGGGAAGAGGGGGGAAGAGGGGGGAAGAGGGGGGAAGAGGGGGGAAGAGGGGGGAAGAGGGGGTTATGAAGCAGTGGTTGCGGAAATGAGCACCATGTACAGATAACCACTAAGTACCATGCTTAACAAAGAAGAACGTGACACCATGCACAACACAAAGTTTCTGTGGTCATGGAAGGAAAGAAACAGATGCAGCATGTGACCGCCAAAGTAAAAGTACGCAACACAAAGCCAGGATCACAATGAACCACTCGTTACTAAGTACCTAACGAACGAGAAGGAACTTAGAGGAACCACTAAGTACCATGCTTAGCAAAGAACGCGTTGTCGTGGAAGAAGAGGAACAGGTGCAGCTCGTGGGACCCAAACCGCTGGAGCTTGTCCACTTTGCCGCCCGCTCCCATGGCCGGCCACTGTAGCAGGAACGCCAGCTGCTGCCACCTGTCGCGCTCCGATTGGCTAATGAAGCTGGCCAATAAGCCGTGAGCTCGCTCTATGGAATCAAATATCTGAGAGAGCGTGAGGTGAGGAGGGGGGACAGCAGTGGAGTGCGGTGAGGTGCAGTGAAGAGGGGTGGGATGAGGAATATGGAGAAGAGGAGGGAGCAGAATAAAGGATGCTAAAAGAAGGCATTCTGTGGAGCTAAGAGATAAAATCTCCTGCATGTGATCAGCACATGAGTAACAACAGCCAAAGACTCACCGCCACCTGTGCCATTGCCACGTCAGCAATGCGGTGCACCTCTCCCTTCCTCCACACCTCCACCGCCCTCCTCTCGTGGTAGTGCCTGGCTGGATCCAATGCGTCCTGGAGCACCCACTCCCTCCCCCTCTCCTCCCTCAATCTCTCCTCCCTCCCCTTCTCCTCACTCCCCGCCTCCTCCTCCCACGCCTCTGCCGGAACGAGCAAATCACAGCGTGCCATCTGGCACCCCCAAGCACTGTCCCCAGAGTCCACAGCCACGACAGTCAATGAGAGACTGCCACGTGGCAGGGAGGATCTAGGAACAGCAACCCAGCCACACATCTCCCCCTCTTCCTCCCCATCACCAGTACCACCAGAACCAGAATTAGAAAAAGTAGTACTACCACCAGTCGCAGAAGCAGTGCCACCACCACCGCTCTGCGTGCCCCTGAAAGGGCGCAGATTGGCAATGAGGGTGGGCGGCGCTGCGAACAGCGGGGCATGCTTGGGGGGTGGGCCCGACTGAGACCGGGCGAAGGAGCCAACACCTGCACTGAGCATCGGTCCGGCAAAGAAGCACGCGGCCGCTTGCGGCGCAGCCATGCGCATGCACTGCTCCTCCACACCGCACGCCATCATGTCCCTCTCAATCCTGTTCCCCCCGAACCCCGCTCGGCCCTTCTGCTGCATCATCACGCCCAGCAGCTGCTTCTTCTTGGCCATCGGGTCGGCGTGTAGTTGGCGCGGAGGGGGGGGCGCGCGCTTGGCGGTGCTGGCAGCGGTCACACGCGGGTTGATGAGAAGCGACGGCAGCGGGAGCAGGTGCCCCACCCGCTCGCTAGGGGTGGCCTTCTGGCGGTTCTGCACATAGCTGCGGGAAAGGGGCGAGAACAGGGTGCAGAGGAAGTGGTGGTGACACGCGGGTTGATGACAAGTGAGGGGAGCGGAAGGAGATGCCCCACCTGCTCATTGGTGGTGGCCTTTTGCCGGTTCAGCACATAGCTGGGACTGGGGGGTGGTAAACGAGAGGGTGAGAGGAGAGGGGAGAGAGAGCTGACTCCAGGGATTCTTAAACCCCCGTGCTTGCCCCGCTGAGAGCGGTTAATGGGGAGGGAGGGCAGGAAGAGGTGATACCCCACCCATTCATTGGGGATGGCTTTCTGGCGGTTCTGCACTTGGCTGGGGGAGAGGGGCAGGAAGACGGGCAGGAAGAGGGGCAGGAAGAGGGGCAGGGGGAAGGGCAGGGGGCAGGAAAAGGGGCAGGAAGAGAGAGGAGAAGCAGAGGTGCCTTCAAGACAGAGGCGCGGGCGAGAAGAGGGTCCGAAAGGTGTCAGCGCCACACACAACCCCAGAACCCATATAGCCACATCACCCCCCACACACACAACACAACCCCTTTACCACGCTCGATACACCATCCCCATAACACGCACACCAGCTACTCATCACCCCCCTTACAGTCACATGACCTCTTCGTCCATAAACCCCTTGTCCCCATAATGGCTCGCCGCCTCTTCCAACCCCGCTCCCTCCCCCTCTTCCAATCACACTCTCTACACCCCCCTCTTTAAACGCACACGTATGTGCGATCACCCTCCGCGTGATCTCGTACTCACATGATCTCTTCGTCCATCAGCTCCTTATCCCCATACTGACTCTCCGCCTCTTCCAACCCCACCCTCCGCTCCTCCACCCACATCCCTCCCGTCCACACGCCCTCCACCCCCTCCTCCCCCTCCTCCCCCCCCCCAAACACTCCCAGCTCAGCGCCAGGCACGGCCCGTGCCACCATTCCCTGCCGCACCAGCACATGCACACGCGTGCTAGGGCCACACCCCCCCACCCTCACCCACAGAGCCTTCCTCTCCCCCCTCCTACCAACACCTCCGACCCCGGCCTCTGCTCCATCTCCTCCCCCTTCCCCTCCCATTCCACCTCTCCCCCCTCCCTTCCCCCTCTGCAACATCCCTATCCCATCAACAGTAGCAGCGGAGATGGTCAGCGGGTGAGCGGGCGGCAATTTTCGGAGCTGTCTATGTGACAAGTCGACCGCCCAGCCGGGGTAAGGGAGAGAGGCGGAGGGATGGGAAGGGTTGGAGGAGGGGGGAGGAGGAAGGACGCTGACGGAGATGGTTTTGTCGTCCCAGGGGAGGAAGAGAGAGTAGTCGCCTGCTGCCACTGCCAGCAGCTCCAGGTAGCCCTGTGGGTAGGGGCGTGCGTGGTGGGGGGGGGAAGGGGGCGGACGAAAGGAGGGGAATGGGGAGGAGCTTTGATGGAGATGGATTTGTCGTCCCAGGGGAGGAAGAGAGAGCAGTCCTCTGCTGGCACTGCCAGCAGCTCCTGGTAGCCCTGTCGAGGAGTTGGGCAGGAACAGGAGGGGCGAGCAGAGGAGAAGAAAGGAGTTAAAGGAGTGGAAGTGAAACGAGGGTTCATTCACCTCTCTCATTCTCAATCGCAGGCTGCAGTCAGCAAGGAACACTCCCTCCACTGAGAGCCCCGATGCTGCAGAGAGAAGGGAGCCCAAGAGGGCATCAAACACAGAAGTCTCTCTCTCTCTCTCCTCTCTCATCCACAGTTGCTGGCTGCAGTCATCAAGAGAAGCTGCCTCCACTGCGAGCTCTGATGCCGCAGAGGGGGGGAGAATGGCAGGGCGTCAAGCGCCTCCCTCTCTCTCACCTGTCTCAGTCGAAGTCGCTCGCTGCAGTCGGCAAGGAACGCCACCTCCTCTGCGAGCCCCGATGCAGCGGCAACGCGGAAGAGAGACGGGCAGATGGGGAGTGCGTTAGCAGCGCCAGCAGCATCACCAGCAGCAGCACTAGTAGCAGCAGCAGCAGCAGCAGCAGCCGCAGCAGTGACATAAGGCAGTCGCAGAATCACTTTATCCAAGCCTAGTGTATCCCCACCATCACCAGCACCCGCACCCGGAATTTCCTCCCCGCCCACCACCACCACATGAGACGACAGCCACTCTGCCGGACTCCCACCCTCTGCTGCTGCCGCCGCCTCTCCAGAAACCACTGCTGCCCTCTCTCCTGCTCCTGTGCCTGTACCAGCGGTGCCACGTGGCCCAATCAGAGCCATCCGTGGTGCATTCACATACCACACGTGCTCCCATTCCTCCATCCCCGCCCTCCATGCATCACTGCTCACACCACCCATCCACTCCTCCCCTTCCCCATCCCCTCCCCCTCCCCCCCACTCTCCCCATTTCCCCAAGCCCTCCCATTCCCCTCCCCCTGGTTCCTTCCCCTTTCCCTCTCCCCCCCACACTCCCACCCTTCTCACCCCCACCCTCTCTACCCCCTCCAACCACCCCAGATACACACACCCATCATCGTCGCTTCTCATCACAACATCTGGCGACCACTCATTGGCCAGTCGGTGCCGCAGTCGCACCACCACTCTCCGCCCTGCCTTCCCCTCGCCCGCCTCCCCAACCACCCGCACCACATATCCCCCACCGCTCTTCCCCTCCCCTCCCCCTTTCTTCTCCCCCATCCCTTCCTCCCCTCCGCCCCTGATCTCCAGAAACAGCGATTCTACTTCCACTGGTCTCTGCTTCCCCTGCCCAACCCCTCCCCCCACTTCCCCCAACCCCAATACCACTCCCCCTCCCCCCGCCCCGCTCCCCTCCCACGCACTCCCATTCGCCACCGCCCTCCCCCCAGGCTCAAACGGGGCCAGAACATTCCAGGAACTTTCTGTAGTCAGCACCTTCTCCTGCCCGCCCTTGCTCTGCAGGAGCACTGTTCCCCGGAGGGTCAGTACAAGACGAACAGCGCTGTCCGGGACTTTCGTCCTGTGGGTTAACTCCGAATCGGCCCGGAGGGAGAGGTTGGGGATGCGAACAGTCACATCCTGGCCCTCTAGAAGCTTCCAGGAAACCACGAGCTCGGTTGAGCGCAGGAGCGAAAGGGGCGCCGGTGGGGTAGAGGAGGAGTGAGAGAAGAGGGGGGAGAGAGTGAGGGAGGGGCGGAGGAGGATGGTGACGTCAGCAGAGGGGCGGAGGAAGGGTTGGTCGAGCCACGCGTGCAAGTTGAGGTTGTAACTGGGGGAGGGGAAGAGGGGGGGAGAGGAGGAAAACGGGGGTTGGGGAAAGCAAGGGGGAGAGGGGAAGCGGAGATGCGAGGAGGGGAGGAGAGTACAAGAGAAAGAACCCCCGAGGGATGAGAAAGAACCCCCGAGGGATGAGGAAGAACCCCCGAGGGATGAGAAAGAACCCCCGAGGGACAGAGAACTTTGGCTTGAGAGCGTTTTCCCTCACCTCTCCTCTGGCATATCGATGGAACCACCCACAGCAGCCAGGCACCCGTCGAAGAGCACCGGGGTGCAGCGCCTGCTGGTGACAGTGAAGGGGATGACCACCTCGCCCTCCCCCCCCACCGCATACTCCAACCCATCCACCCACACACTCGCCGCCCGCCCTCCCAACACGCTCGGCAACGCCTCTCCCGAACCTCCGCCCAAGCCTGCACCCGAGCCTCCGCCTGGTCCGGCTGCTGCCGGTGCTGCTGCTGCCGAGGGTTGCACATGCCCGGCACTGGTGGGCAGCACGGGAGCGCCGTCCTCGTTGAGCATGCGGAGGGAGAGACCGCGCGGGGTGAGGGTGCACGTGTGGCTGACAAGAAAGGGGAGAGGGCAGGGGTGAAGGGTTCGGGTTTTAAGGCGAGAATGGGAGCAGGAGTCAACGGGCAGCATGGCACTGGCGGGCAGCACGGGAGCCCCGCCCTCGTCGAGCATGCGGAGGGAGAGACCGCGCGGGGTGAGGGTGCATGTGTGGCTGAAGGGATAGAGGGGCGAGGGGGAGGGGAGAGTGGAGGGTCGGGGGCGATTGGGAATAGAGAGGAGGGGTAGGGGGTTCTAACGGCTGCATGGGAGCTGTGCCTTCGTTGAGAAGGCGGAGGGAGAGACCGCAAGGGGTGAGGGTGCATGGGTGGCTGAAGGGGTGTTGGTTGACGTGTGGCCCGACGAGGGGAACCGTGAACGGGGAACAGAGAAGAGGACACGGGGATGGAGGGGAGGGGATGGGAGGGAGATAGGAGGTTGAAGGTGTGACCACATGGCCAGTACACACTATTTACACTGTATGGATACACTCAAACACACACACACACACACACACACACACACACACACTCTCACACACACACACACACACACACTCAAACACACACACACACACACACACACACACACACACACTCAAACACACACACACACACTCAAACACACACACACACACACACACACACACACACACACACACACACACACACACACACACACACCATATGAATATACTTGATAAATCCCCCCCCCTGCATCCAGCGGTCACTCACACTAGATTGCCCTTTCGGATGATGGCCCGGGTACACAGTCCGCCGCCCTCCAGCTGCACTACAAACACGCCCCGCCGCCCAGCCAGCTGAGGCAGATCCACACTCAGGATTCGCTTTATGAGGGAGAACGGGCGGGAGGGGGAGGAGGAGGTGGTGGTGGTGGTGGTAGCGGTGGGAAGGGGAGTTTGCTGTTGCTGCTCCTGCTGCTGCAGCTGTAACTCTTGCTGATACCTGTTATAACGAGTATATTGTGGAGGCGAGAGTAATGGAGAAAGTGACAGGGGACACAAGGCGATGCTTGAGGCGCCTCAAAAATCTTTGAGGCGCAATGGAGAAAGTGAAGGGGGGCACACAAGGCGCCTCAAACAGTGAAGGGGGGCACAAGGCGCCTCAAACAGTGAAGGGGGGCACACAAGGCGCCTCAAACAGTGAAGGGGGGCACAAGGCGCCTCAAACAGTGAAGGGGGGCACAAGGCGCCTCAAACAGTGAAGGGGGGCACAAGGCGCCTCAAACAGTGAAGGGGGGCACAAGGCGCCTCAAACAGTGAAGGGGGGCACAAGGCGCCTCAAACAGTGAAGGGGGGCACAAGGCGCCTCAAACAGTGAAGGGGGGCACAAGGCGCCTCAAACAGTGAAGGGGGGCACAAGGCGCCTCAAACAGTGAAGGGGGGCACAAGGCGCCTCAAACAGTGAAGGGGGGCACAAGGCGCCTCAAACAGTGAAGGGGGCACAAGGCGCCTCAAACAGTGAAGGGGGGCACAAGGCGCCTCAAACAGTGAAGGGGGGCACAAGGCGCCTCAAACAGTGAAGGGGGGCACAAGGCGCCTCAAACAGTGAAGGGGGGCACAAGGCGTGGAAGGAAAGGGGGAGATAAAAGGGGGAACAGTGAACAGTGAAAGGGGGAACTTAGAGACTTTGGGTTGGGGAGTGTGGTTGAAAAAAGGCATGAGACGTCTCAAAACTTAAGTAGGCATGAGCATAGGTCCGGCCCGGCCCGATTCTGCTCGGCCCGACTCTGGGTCGGGCCGGGCTGGGCCTGGCCAAGGTCAGGCCGCCTTTGGGAGCTCCCCGGCCCGTGCCCGGGTTTAGGGGTCGGGTCGGCCTTGGCCTGGGGCGGGCCGGGGGCGGGCCAGGCTGGCCCAGCCCGCCTAAACTCGGGCCGAGTTTCGGGGACGGGCGGCCCGTGCCCGAAACACTTGGAAACGGGAGAAAGAAAGGCTTACAGCAAAAAAACTCAGCTGGAAAGAAGTCACACAAACAACAAGGCATGTAACATGACAAAGAAAAATGGCTATCTTGAGATTTCGGAGAAGAAAAAAGAGTCAATTTGAAAAGCAGACCATGGCTTGAGTCCATCCAGCGGCCCCAAGTTGGAGAAGTCAGTGTCAAGCGGCGAGGCGAGCAGGTAGCGCAGGGAGTCCACCTCAAACACCTTCACCTGCAACGAGGGAGGGGAAGAGGAGGGGTGGTATTTTTGAGGCGCCTCAAAAATAGACTCCTCACGCATAGTCCACCTCGAACAGCTTCACCTGCAATGAGGGAGCGGAAGAGGAGGGGTGGTATTTTTGAGGCGCCTCAAAAATAGACTCCTCACGCATAGTCCACCTCGAACAGCTTCACCTGCAATGAGGGAGGGGAAGAGGAGGGGTGGTATTTTTGAGGCGCCTCAAAAATAGACTCCTCACGCATAGTCCACCACCTCGAACAGCTTCACCTGCAATGAGGGAGGGGAAGAGGAGGGGTGGTATTTTTGAGGCGCCTCAAAAATAGACTCCTCACGCATAGTCCACCTCGAACAGCTTCACCTGCAATGGGGGAAGGGAAGAGGAGGGGTGGTGGTGGTGGGGGAGGGGAGGACAGGGTTAGAACGGAGATTTTGATTAAGCAGGTGGGGCAGGGAAGCCGCATTCACCCGTGGGGAAGAAACGGGCAGGTGCGTTTTGAGGCCAGCTTGGCTTGCTGCGATCGAACCCGCTCATGGCAACAGTGCATGTGGAGGTCAGCAAGTCGCTTGGAAAGCCAGTCTGGTGCTCGAGAATTCTCAGGAAGTGGAAAAAGGCTGGAGAGAACATCCCCTCCGAGTCCACCTGATACGTGGGTGGACATCACCTCAGGTACAGATGCCGCATTGCATGTGGGGGCATGTAGGCCTCAAAGCATTGCATGTGTGGGGGCATGTAGGCCTCAAAGCATTGCATGTGGGGGAATGTAGGCCTCAAGTCATTGCATGTGGGGGCATGTAGGCCTCAAGTAATTGCATGTGGGGGCATGTTGTTTTTGAGAATTCTCAAAAACACCCGGCATTGCATGTGGGGGCATGTAGGCCTCAAGTCCATTCGAGCTTATGAAAAACTATATAGGCCTAGAGAGCAAAGCAGAGGTGGCATGCGAGATGCTGCTGCCAATCCAAACGCATGCGTGGGAATCTTTGACCGAGTCTTATAATCGAGGCACCAGCTTACAGCGAGTACAGGCACGTTCTTCACAACCACGTCCAGATGCACCGAATCCGCCACCCGCCACACCCGCCGGTTGTGGGCGGCAAAGTCCAGCTGGCACCGCCCGGTCAGCTCGGCCAATGCCCTGCTGGCAGCGGTCGGGTTGTTGGGCGCGTGCTGAGTCTGGTAGGCAGTCAGGTAGAGGTGCACCCATCTGTTAAAAGAAGAGGAGAGGGTAGGAGTGGAGGAGAGAAATGAGCTAGGGAGATGTGAGGTGGTGGAGATGTGAGGTGGTGTTGGACTGGGTGTGTGTGCTGGCAGCTGTCGGGTTGTTGGGTGCGTGCTGGCTCGGGTAGGCGGTGAGATAGACGCGCACCCATCTGCACCAGGAAGTCTAGTTTTGAGGCGCCTCAAAACTAGACTTGTGGTAGGCGGTGAGATAGAGGCGCACCCATCTGCACCAGAAGAATTGAGGAGTGGCAAGGTGAGGAGAATCTTCAAGGGGAGTAAGACGAATATCCGACTTACACTAGATTGTACGGATCGATAAGTAGGCCATTTTTTAGGCACCTCAAAAATAGACTCCTCACCTCCGACTTACACTAGATTGTACGGATCGACAAGTAGGCCTCACAACATGATGGCACCGGGAGGGCGCTCACACAGGGTAGTAGGGATCCTCCCCACAGCTCAGCCGTGTTTCGGCCAATAGCAGCTTATACTACGCCTCCCTAGACCGTACTCAACCCTATCTTAGCACACACTCACACAGGGTAGTAGGGGTCGTCCCCACAGCACAGCTGTGATTCGGCCAATAGCAGCGCCACGTAGCTCCACTCCAGCTTGCCCTGCCCAATCAGAGGCTGCCACGTGTGCAGAGCTCTCTCCACCAGCGCCGCCGCCTCCCGGGAATCCGGGGCGAAGGGGAACTGCGCTGATGCTCCGGCTGCTGCTTCTGCTGACGTGGCAGCTGCTGATGTGGCGGTCGGTGAGCCCAGAGGGAGGCGGAAGGAGTGGGGGGAGGAGGAGGAGGAGGAGGAGGAGGCAGAGGAGGCAGAGGAGAGGGAGGAGGAGAAGGAGGGGGCGGAGAAGATGATCCTGAGCTGCTGGGCAACGACCTCCTTTACGTCGGATGGGGATGGGTGCGTGGCGAAGAGAGGCACGTGGACGAACGCCTCCTCGTGGGGGCTGGAGGGTTTGGTTGGGGTGTTGGGGAGAGGATAGCAAGTGGGAGAACGAAGAGGGAGAGCGAAGAGGGAGAGCGAAGAGGGAGAGCGTGTGAAGTGCTGTGAAACGATATCTTTCTTGTCGGATGGGGACGGGTGCCTGGAGAAGAGAGGCACGTGGGCGAACTCCTCATCCTCGTGTGGCCGGGTGGGATTTTGGTCGGGGTGTTGGGGAAAGCACGCAAGGGAAGTCCAGTAGCATAAGCCTCGGCATACAGCGCAGGAGGGAGGCGCCTTGTGGCCTGCAGGAGAGAGCAAGCGGATGCGAGGAGAAGGTTGGGGTCAGCCCTTTGTGTGATAGAGGCACCCAACATGACGCAGAACCTCCTTCTGATCTGAAACACCCTCAACATGCCGCGCACGGGGGAACACGCCGTACGGCCCCTTGGGGATGAGGGCCAGGAAGGCGAGGAGCAGAGGAGGTCTGGGTCCGCCTCTCCCCAAGGCGAAACCAGCAGCCGACACACCCACCAAATACCGCGCAGGAGGGAAGACGCTGTACGGCCCCTTGTGGATGAGCGAGAGGAAGGCAAGGAGGAGGTTCAAGTGCGCAACGTACCGTGCAGGAGGGAAGACGCTGTATGGCCCCTTGTGGATGAGCGAGAGGAAGGCGAGGAGGAGGCTGGGGTCGGCCTTTCCTTGGAAGAGGTGCAAAGTCAGACGCGCAAAGAGAAGCTTCGCCTTGCAGTAGTCGCTGGTCAGCAGAGGCTGAATCTGGTCCAGGTAGCTGGAGGGGTCGGGGGGAAGGGGTGGGGGAAAGGGGAGGGGAGATGGAGGAAAAAAAAGGGGGGGCCTTTGGCCTTGAGGGGTGATCACTGGTTAGCATTAGTTGTAGCCTGTTTGGGTAGCTGGTGGGTTGGGCAGGGGGGGTGAGGCAGGAAACGGGATGGTGGAAAGAGATGAGAGTCGTTGGAAGTGGAGAGGAGGAGATGGAGAGGAGGGAGAGGGAAGGGGAGTGGGTCACAAGGCCAAGTCAACTTGCGCACTGCCTCTTGTTGCTGTAGGTAGTCCTAGAGCATTCTCAGGCCACCTGAGCAAGAGGCAGTGAGTTCTAGAGCATTCTCAGAAACCACCTCCAGGCTGCAGGCCACGTCATCATGCGCTGTGGCTCTTTTGCCAGTCACTCTCCAATTTTCCAGTTTGATTCTTTCATTCTGAATCAAATCCTCACCTCAGAATCTGATTTTTGAGTCGACTCAAAAGATTTTCCAGTTTGATTGTTTCATTCAGAATCAAATCCATACCTCAGAATCTGATCGATGCTTTCAGGAGAGGGTGCGGAGGAATCCAGGGACATGCCACGTGGCAGCATCTGAATGGCCTGCAGCGCCAGCAGATGCGGATGGGCGGCAAGTGACGGGAAGCGGGCGGCAAGAGAGTGCAGTTGCGGGGGAGTGAGGATCTGCAGAATCGGGAGGCTGAGAGGTAGACGAGAGGGCGAGAGAGATGGAGGGGGTACAGACAGAGGAGGGTAAGTGGAACAATGGAAGAGGGGGGAGGGAAGGAGAGGAGGGAAAGGGGAGGAAAGGGGAGGCATCAACTGCAAAGTCTACCACCCCACCCCAGCGGTTTCAAACCTAACTCTCTTCAACAAACGAGAAAATCTCTGCACTTGAGACGTATTCCCGTAGAATAGGTTTCCAGGTGTCCCGTAAAAGCCCATGGCCGTCGAGTGAGCGCACCTGAGGCGGTTGAAGGCGTCTGGCTCGTCTCGCTCCAGCCGCTGCAGCTCCCACGCCACTGCGTCCACCAGGTGGGGTAGTGAGGGGCGGCGCACGCACTGGTAGGGGGAGAATGGGGCGGCGACGGGAAAAGGGGAAGAGGTGAGCATGGAAGGCTCGTCTCGCTCCAGCCGCTGCAGCTCCTCCCGTGGCACTGCGTCCACCAGGTGGGGTAGTGAGGGGTGGCGCACGGACATGGGGGAGGGGAGAGGGGAGACGGGGAAGAGGTAAGGATAGAAGGGGGGAAAGGAGATTTTTTTTTTTAGGCGCCTCAAAAATAGACTCCTCACGCATGGAGAGGAGGGAAGGCTCGTCTCAGTCCAGCCGCTGCAGCTCCTCCCACGCCACTGCGCCCACCAGGTGGGGCAGCGATGGGCGGCGCACGGACTGGTAGGGGGCGGCGCAGAAAAAGAAGGGTTGGGGGGGGGAACGACTTAGTGGTGGGAGGGGAAACACATGTCTCGCTACAGTCGCTGCAGCTCCTCCCATGCCACGGCGTCCACCAGGAGGGGCGGCGCACACGCTGGGGTGGGGGGTGAGGCAACGGGGAGAAGAGGGGGGAATGGGGGAAGAGGATGCCGGGGTGGTTCCGCCACAGGCGCTGCAGCGCCCATGCGATGGCATCCACCAGAGGGGGCAACGATGGGCGGCGCACTTGGTGGTCGAGAGAGAGAGAAACAGGGTTCCAGCAATACACGGACCGCTTGAGAAGCAGGGGCTGGGGAAGGGAAGGGAGGGGGAGGGGGTGCACAATGCACCAGCAGACGTGGACAAACAAAAGAAAAGGAACGTAGTGCCGTGCTCTCCCCAGTTCCCCTCTCATCCCCGTCCAATCCCCCATCACCCCCCTTCCCCTTCCAACCTCCCCCTCTCCCCTCCCCCTTCCTCTCCCCTTCCCCCCTCCCCCCTCGCCCCCCCTCTCTCTGATCTCACCTTCAGCAGCTGCTGCAGCGACTTCTTGTCCATCGCCTCTCTCGTCCAAAACGGAACCTTCTGTGCACCTTCCCCCCCCTCTCCGCCCCTCCCTCCCCTCATCCACCCCACAGCTCCCCCCACCGACCCCCTCACCCACCCTGCAGCTTCCCCCACCAGCGCCCCCACCCCCACCCCCCGCCCATGCGCCCCCCCAAACCCTCCCCCCGACCCTGCCCCCTGCCCTTCCGCCTCCTCCTTTGCCAGCAGGCGCACCAGCACTGGCGCAAGCCCCCCTTCCTTGAGCCCCCCCCACCCATGCTGCTGCCACGTCAGCTCCAGAAGAGACAAATGGTCCGCAAATTGGGGCGGCAGGGCGGAGGGGAAGGAGGAGAGGGCGGACGTGCCACCTGCGCCAGAATCAGCTCCAACCCCAATGTTTTCTCCACCTGAAGCACCACCTGAACCTTCTCCTGCGGCAGTCACTGCTGCTGCTGTGGGTGCTACAGGCGTGACTGCCCCCTCTGCATCCTCTATTGTCTCATCAAAGGATGGCACTGTAACGGGGGCAGCAGATGGTGCGGCGACGATAGCAGGAGGGGTGGTGTTGAGAGTCACGCTCAGCTCCTGATTGGTTGGCGGAAACAGAGGGGGAGAGTGGAGCAAGGTAAGGTCGCAGGGCGGGCTATAAGAAACAGGGTGGGAACGAGCAGGGGCATTGGAGATGGTTGAAATCTCTCAAAAACATGGTTGAACATCTCACACGGAGATGTGGAAGCATGGGATAGGAGGGGAAAGCCAACCACATGACATGCATTGACAAATCATGGCAGGCGATAACAGGATTTGTAACTTGTAACGTCTTCGCAAACTCTTAAAATGACAGAGCAGCATACCTTCATAGCAATGTCAACGCAAATACCTTCTTAATAATGTCAACGCACGCGTCGCGGTCGCCAGAATCCCAGAGCGCCACGGCGAGGCGCAGCTCGAGCTCCTGAATAAGACGAACGAGGCTGCCCGGCCCGAGAAACGCGGCGTCCACCGACACGCTCGAGAGCTTCGGCGCCGCGAGGGGCGACTCGCGCGGAGACGCGCGGAAAGGAGAACCGGGGGGCGGGGGAGGCGGAGGAGACGGCAACCCCGCGGCGTCGCGGAGAGTGGTGAGAAGAGCGCGCGCCTCCGCGGTGTCCCCCGCCTCGATGGCTTGAAGCGCTGGGGGGGGGGGAGGGGGGCGGGGGGGGGGAGGTATGGGTAAGGCAGTAGAGGAGGAGTCTCGTGGTGGCACAGAAACGAGGCCTAGAGAAGACGAGTGAAGTGAGAAGCACGCTGCTCCCGGCACGAACAGACGTCATCAAATGCGCCTCGCGCTAAGTCGCGGAGAGGAGGCAACAGGAAAAAGGGAGAAATAAATTTCATAAATGGAAAAGGGGTACTAGCGGCGTGTAATGAGTCGATTTTTGAGTCGACTCAAAAATCGACTCATTACACAGGGGGCACTAGCGGCGAAGAGCACGATGTAGCGCCTAGTGTTTGGCGCGGAGCGGATAGTGCATCATGACGCTGAAGATGAGGCGCTGTAGCAATACATTCATAAATGACGTGCTGGACACTGTCAGCCGTGGTTCGGGACGTCTCAAAAGAGACACGCCTATTATCACGCGTACCGCTGAAGAAGAGGTGTCGGAAACTGCCGGCCGTGAGCGACTCGACAACCGCGGCGCGGTCGTGCGCGAATGCGAACCGCTCTAGGGTCTCGAGCCACTGATGCTTCGCCACGTGCGACTCCATGGCCGACCGATGCCCCGGTAACAACAATAACAGCTACAAGTATCCGGGATTTAGACTACTATTACTAAGCACATGTGCAACTTGTTGCTCTAGATTCTTTATGAGAAGTAGAAATGAAGCAAGGTTGCGCGACGAAGAGCACATTCAAGACTAACAGCCCTTCCGAGACCAACAAGCAAATTATGCACAACATTGGGACGAATGGCATTCAGCAGCAAGTCAGCCCACTTCTGCTGCAGTAGCAGAATGTCAGCCCACTTTCGGCAGCCGAATGCCCCCCTCATTTCTGTATCCCTGGAAGAGTTCACTGCTAAATGTACGATGTGGTAGGGTCTGGTGCTAATCTGAGCGTTACAGAGGGTTTCTGTACGGTAAAACTTTTCCTGCTGGCGCAAGAATCTCATTTCACCTGGGCCCGCATCCCCTTCTCCAGCAGCTCTGACACTGACACTGGATGGCGAAAGTGGAGTAACCAAACTGCCGAGGTGCAGGGGGTCCACCAGTGGGGAAAATGAATTCGCGAACGGCTTTCGTCGAGCTCTCTGCTGACTCGGCAGGGAAGCCTATCTGCAGCTAGCCAGAAGATGGCGCGGCGGAGCAGCGGAGGGCGGAAAGGCGGGAAACACTGGCGGAAATTTGAACAGCTGCGCGCATGGGGTGGGGACGTTGCGTGCGGCTGGACATAGAGGAAGGTGCGTGGCGAATGTATCATCAACATATGCGTGGGCGCCACGCATGGTGGGCAAGCTGCGCGAAAAAAAAAATCGTTAAATAGTTCCTCGTTACGGTTACCAAGGGAACCTAGTAATGGGTGACGTCGATTTGCGAAATAAATCACTTTGGTCTAAGCAAATTTCGAATAGCGACATTTCAGGATCAGATGACCATGGATTCAAAATAATAAACATTATAGATGTAATACACATTGCATCTCACTAATTATTTAGACGTTTAAGGTTCTTCATTAGTCAATGTAGTACCTTCACGTATAATGTTCTGGTGTAGCACGCCTTATCCAGTGAATAGGCTGCGATCATCCAGCGTCAGTTGCGCCATCCGCGCCGTCGCTCATGCCTTGGTGTGGGAGCATGGAAGGCGAGGGGAGAGGGTGGATGGCGGCGAAAAGTCGTTACACTCCTAACCAATCCACGTGGCGACTCAATAAGCATCATTCGCGAAGCGCGATGCGCACTCAAAATTGGCGCCTGCTGCGACATTCGTCCCGTGACTCAGGGATTCTAGAACATCAAACCTCGTTCCTACTTGGAATATCAAACAATTGGCGGTTCCAACTCGTTTCCGAGCAACCGTCACCCTACTGGGATTTGGAAATCATCGATTTCCCAGTAACCCAGTTTCGCTCACTGTTACAAGTGAACTAACAGAGTCACTTAAAAGATGCTGTTCTCTGAATTGAGACCCCGAGCACGGAATAGGTCCTCACCTGTGCTAAAAGTGCATTTCACACCAAGCACGTTTCACCTTCGCCGCAGGTCAGTGCCGCCAACTCGACAAAGGCACACCTCAAACCCGCCTATAAAGCAGCCACAGCTCGCTCCTTTCGCAGCAGCCATTGATCTCGCGACGCGACTTTACACAGCTTTGCTTAGCCTTTGAATATGATCTGAGCCAGGATTGAGCTTTTTGAATCAAGATAGAGAGCCCTCGATTGTTTTTATCGGTCCTCGATATAGCCCTCACAACACCTCCGTCCCGCACCGACAATGAAATCTCCCTTCCTCGCTATCGTCAGCCTCGTCCCGCTCCTCGCCTCCGCCATTCTCCCCTCCAACGCCGTTCCCCTTCTCCCCTCGCAAGAACGCGCATTAATATCCCTGAAAGCCGCTTGGGGAAACTGCGTGGTAACCAACACATGGATACCCGGCGCCGACTGCGCGAAATGGTCCGGCATCGCCTGCGACGATCGCGGGATGGTTACCCAGTTATACATCAGCGACTACTCCTGCACCGGCGCTTTGACGGAAGCCGTCGGAAATCTGACGGAGTTGACGCAGCTTGATCTGACCAACAACTGGCGCATCGGCGGCGGCTTGCCCAAGAGCCTCTCGAAATTACAGAAGCTCGAGTCGCTCGGCATCAGCGACAACATCCATGGAAGAATCTCCGGCGGCCTCCCGGAATCCATCGGGAAACTCACGCGCCTCACCTTCCTAGCGTTCCGCGGAACAGGGCTCGCGGGGAGCATTCCGCGCGGGCTCGCGCGCCTGAGTCGCGTCGAGTATCTCGACCTGGATTATAACCGACTCACAGGGGAAATCCCTCGGGAATTGTCCCGCATGGCGGCACTCAACACGCTTGATTTGGGCGGGAATCGGTTGACCGGATCAGTTCCCCCGACCCTCGCTAAAATTAAGGGCCTGAAGCGGCTGCGTCTCGGGAAGAACAAGCTTTCGGGTGCGCTCCCCGTGACCGTTGTACTCGCTATGAAGAGCCTCGAAGAGCTGGATCTGCACAACAACCGGTTTACTGCTTCGTCTATCGCCGCCCTTGCGAACCATCCGTCTCTGACAGACATTAATCTCAGCTGGAACCATATTACGGGCAGGGTGCCCTCCCAGTTCGGGCAGATGAAGAAGCTGGGGGCTCTGCGATTGGCTGGAAACAGGCTCAGAGGAACAGTTCCGGAGGCTCTGCTGCAGAACTTGCCGAACCTCTACGAGTTGGACCTTTCTTTCAACGGGCTAAGCGGGGAGTTTCCCTGGGCGAACTTGAAAAATGCCCCGGTTATCGAGTACCTGAACCTGCAGCGCAACGCGTTTACCGGCGCGATTCCCGCTGACGCGTTTCAGAACGTCCACGTGGCAGTCTTTAACATATCCTTCAATCTTTTCTCCGGGCCCATGCCGAATCTAGGGTTCATGGGAGGAGAAGAGGAGCCGCCAGTCGACGTGCGCGGGAATTATTTTTGGGGCAGCCCGGAGTTCATCATGTCCAATCAGAAAGTATGCCCAGAGGAGGGGCAGGCGGACCCCGACTCAGGCGACGACGAGTACCTCGCAGCGCTGAATTGCCTCGGTAAGAGCAGCTCCTGTAACATGAAACAGCAACGTAGTAGAGCAGCATGTAGTAATTATTGTGGGACGAGTACGACAAACGGCCCGTGCTCGGGGCACGGCGTGTGCGTTCCGGCGGGTGGGGCCGTTTTCAAGTGCAGGTGTGCGAGCGGGTACAAAGCGGTGGGGGGGAAGCCGCACGAGTGTGTCAAGGCATGACGCGTCGAGGCTTGAAAGGCGCATGGAGAAACGAGAGTTGTCTTGCCTCTTTAAAATCGTATGTGGGTGCGTGCGCGTGTGTGTTTGCGCGCGAGAGTGAGGGTGCAGATGCGTGTGTGTTGAGGGCAGGTTAAAGCCGTTGACCCAAATTGCAGAAATTTTGTTTCAAGTTTATTAATCTTGAAACTGCCCTTCTGGTGACCCAGTTCCGCAAAACGAGAGGGAAAACTAAGATCGCGCACCAAAAAGACGGGAAACATGTGATAGGCGTGCGCCACCCCCAGCCAATTCCGCCCCTGCCCCCGATACACCAGGTGTTTGAGCGGAAAGAAACTTGAAACATGCGCTCATACATTTTGGGACTTTTGAAGTGCAACCCAGCCCAGCGCCACCACGCCTAAGGGTGTGGTACTTCTGCAAAAACTGGGTCAAGTTGTGCAGCGCAGGAATCACAGTTTGCGAAGTGCCTGAAACGATAGCGAACTGTTTGTTACAAGATCCCCCGCACCAAATCTAGTTTCGCGTTTCGATATGCATTTTTCGTGCGAGCGGCGTGAAAACACCAATGTTCGTTACAGCAGTTGATATGCGTGCGCCACCCCACCCCAAAGTGTTAAAGTCTGAACTAGGAAAAACAGAGGAGGCCGCCATGGAATGGCGGCCAAGGGTATAGCTAGGAAGTTGACGAGGGTGTCGAGAGAGAAGAGTGTTGGATTAGGAAGAGAGGGGAGTACAAGGAGGGGTTTGTACCCCCTACAGAAAGGTTCAGTAACAACCTACCAAGCCTATATTAAATTATAACTTATATAATTTGAACACAAAGTTGTTTGGCGAAAATTGCCAAGTCAAGTTACCCACACAAGTTGCGCAGCAGGGTCAAGTTGTACAGCCCAAATCTCGCCAAAAGCACCACGTCCTTACGTGTGCCTTCCTATTGTTCGCTGTTCATCATCACCCCTCCCACACTCCCACTCTCTCCCTCCTTCCCCCCCAAACCCCCCCCCCCCCCACCCCCCAACCAACTTCCCGCGCCGAGCGCGCCCCTCCTTTCCCTTTTCCGTCCCACCCTCCCCTTTTGTCCTTTTATATCGGTTTGTTTGCGCCCTGATTGGTTCATGAGGTTTCGTCAAGAGTGTTTTTGTCGCGCATGGTGTTGCGACGCTCGCTCGTTGGCGAAAACCACTCGCCACCTCGCACCATTGCCCTACGCCCCTGCGCGCTGCCGTGTCCAACTTTTTGCCCCTAACATGTTTATTAATCTTGCACGTTTTGGGTCAACGGCTTTAAGCAGGTTCAATGAAGCTTATTGTTGTCGCGGGTGTACGGTTTCTAGTGTATCGTGGTTGAGCAGGCTGTTGCTTCGTGCATTGTCAGTAGAAATTAATAAGACGGCTTGCGTTTGCTGTGCTTATCAGAGGATGATGAGGGTTGCGGAATGGAAGCTGGCAGCCTTTGTCAACTCTCGCCAACTGTGATCAGAAGTAAAACAAGAGGCGACGAGATCGTCTTAGGTTTGCGGAGCATTTCATGATGAGACTTTATTATACATAAAATGTTTTATTTCCATATCACAACAAACATTTGATTTTTATTTCACAAACTTGAAAAAAAAACCAGCCCGATCGATTGCAATAGGTTGCTCCGCAACCCAAAAACGGAAACCGTAAAGCGCCATGGGGACTGAAACGCTACTGCTCAAGATAAGACGTCGACTAACGAACTTCCATGTTCTAAGGAGAAACAAGGCTCGACGTGAATCGTCGGATGGGTTGCGTATGCCTACATTTTTCCCGTTCACAATTCAAGTTAGTATTTCCCCCCCGCCTTTTTCTTTTCATTTGGGTTGTGCATAAAAATTTTGTGAGAAAAATACTATAATATTAAATTATTTTGTAAGGGGGTATATTTTAAACATGTAACATTAATAATTGCTGCAATATTTTATGGTTTCGTATAAAAGAAGTGTTGTATTGCTCAAGTATTCGTTTCGGTCGGCGGTTTTGTTTTGGGCGGGAACGATTGTTTTATCTGCTTCGTGACTGTAACGCTATACAGTCTCTCACGTTCGACGGGACTCGCTCTCCGTGCAAGAATACAAACCTGAACCAAACTTGAGGTGGTGTAACAAAATTCGGATTGTAATACGTGCTATTTAATAGAATATTTGGGTGTAGTAACTGTGTTGACTTGTATTTGGTTTAGCTTTGTGGGGCAAAGCGAATACGCCCCTGGTAGGGCTTGTTGGTGCTTCTTGTTTCTGCTCGTCCTTCCCTCTTACTGTACTGTACCTAGTTCTTGCTCTTTCGTTCGTCCCTAGTTCTTGCTCGTATAGGTCAGTCCTCACCTAGTTGCTTACACCTAGTTCTTGCTTACCCCTTGTACTTGCTCACGCCTAGTACTTGCTCACGCCTAGTACTTGCTCACGCCTAGTACTTGCTCACGCCTAGTACTTGCTCACGCCTAGTACTTGCTCACGCCTAGTACTTGCTCACGCCTAGTCCTTGCTCACACTGACTTCCTTGCTCATACCTAGTCCTAACTCAAAACTAACTGTTTTCCCTTACTATCATGCATAACTGCCACCTGGCGCGGAGCCCGTAACCCGTTTCGCGCTGGTCCGTTTTGCGCTGGCGACTTGCGCGCTGGCGCGTTTCTCACTGGCGCCTTGCCCGCTGGCGCCTTGCGCGCTGGCGTGTGCGCTGGCGCGTCTCGCGCTTGCGCCTTGCGCGCTGGCGCGTCTCGCGCTTGCGCCTTGCGCGCTGGCGCGTTTCGCGCTGGCGCCTTGCGCGCTGGCGCCGTGCGTGCTGCCACCGTGCACGCCGGGGCTGCCGCTGTGCTCGCCGGCGCCGTGCGCGCTGGTGCCGTGCGCTCTCTCCTCTCTCCTCTCTCCTCTCTCCTATCTCCTCTCTCGTATCTCCTCTCTCCTCTCTCCTCTCTCCTCTCTCCCCTCTCCTCTCTCCTTTCTCCTATATCCTCTCTCCTCTCTCCTATCTCCTCTCTCCTATCTCCTATCTTCTCTCTCCTATCTCCTCTCTCTTCTCTCCTATCTCCTCTCTCCTCTCTCCTCTCTCATATCTCCTCTCTCCGCCCCACGCCTCCCTCCTTCCCCGATGCTGCCCCTACCGCGTCTCACCTCACCCTCTCAGGTCAATGCTTTCAACCTCGCAGCAGCCAGCAGTGTGACTCGGTGCGACATTTTGTGGCTTGCCTTTTCTCCGCCCCACACCCTCCTCCTTTCCTTACCCTGCCTGTCCCTACCGTGTCTCTGCTCACCCCCTCAGGTGAATGCATTCAACCCAGCAGTAGTGGGCAACGTGATGTGCCGCAACCTTCTCAAGATTGACTGGTGCGTGTGTATGGGCATGGCATGCCTGGCTGTGTGTGTGTATGGGCATGGCATGCCTGGCTGTGTGTGTGTATGGGCATGGCATGCCTGACTGTATGTGTATATGGGCATGGCATGCCTGGCTGTGTGTGTGTATGGGCATGGCATGCCTGACTGTATGTGTATATGGGCATAGCATGCCTGGCTGTGTGTGTATGGGCATGGCATGCCTAGCTGTATGTGTGTATGGGGATAGCATGCCAGGCTGTATGTGTGTATGGGCATAGCATGCCTAGTTGTATGCATGTATGTGCATAACGTGCCTGGCTGTATGCGTATATGGGGATGGCATGCCTAGCTGTATGTGTGTATGGGCATAGCATGCCTGGTTGTATGTGTGAATGGGCATAGCATACCTAGTTGTATGCATGTATGGGCATAGCATGCATGGCTGTATGCATGTATGGGCATAGCATGCCTAGTTGTATGCGTGTATGTACATAACGTGCCTGGCTGTATGCATGTATGGGCATAGCATGCAAGGCTGTATGTGTATATGGGCATAGGATGCCTGTCTGTGTGTGTGTATGTGCATAACGTGCCTGAATGTACGCATGTATGGGCATAGCATGCCAGGCTGTATGTGTGTATGGGCATAGCATGCCTGGCTGTACGTGTGTATGGGCATAGCATGCCTAGTTGTATGCGTGTATGTGCATAACGTTCCTGGCTGTATGCATGTATGGGCATAGCATGCCAGGCTGTATGTGTGTATGGGCATAGCATGCCTGGCTCTGTGTTTGTATGGGGATGGCATGCCTGACTGTATGTGTATATGGGCATAGCATGCCTGGCTGTGTGTGTGTATGGGCATGGTATGCCTGGCTGTATGTGTGTATGGGGATGGCATGCCTAGCTGTATGTGTGTATGGGCATAGCATGCCTGGCTGTGTGTGTGTATGAGCATAGCATACCTAGTTGTATTGTATGCATGTATGGGCATAGCATGCATGGCTGTATGCATGTAAGGGCATAGCATGCCTGACTGTATGTGTGTATGGGCATAACATGCCTAGTTGTATGCGTGTATGTGCATAACGTGCCTGGCTGTATGCATGTATGGGCATAGCATGCCAGGCTGTATGTGTATATGGGCATAGGATGCCTGTCTGTGTGTGTGTATGGGCATGGTATGCCTGGCTGTATGTGTGTATGGGGATGGCATGCCTAGCTGTATGCATGTATGGGCATAGCATGCCACGCTGTATGTGTGTATGGGCATAGCATACCTAGTTGTATGCATGCATGGGCATAACATGCATGGCTGTATGCATGTATGGGCATAGCATGCTTGGCTGTATGTGTGTTTTGGCATAGCATGCCTAGTTGTATGCGTGTATGTGCATAACGTGCCTGGCTGTATGCATGTACAGGCATAGCATGCCAGGCTGTATGTGTGTATGGGCATGGCATGCCTGGCTGTGTGTGTGTATGGGCATGGCATGCCTGACTGTATGTGTATATGGGCATAGCATGCCTGGCTGTGTGTGTGTATGGGCATGGCATGCCTAGCTGTATGTGTGTATGGGGATAGCATGCCAGGCTGTATGTGTGTATGGGCATAGCATGCCTAGTTGTATGCATGTATGTGCATAACGTGCCTGGCTGTATGCGTGTATGGGGATGGCATGCCTAGCTATATGTGTGTATGGGCATAGCATGCCTGGTTGTATGTGTGAATGGGCATAGCATGCCTAGTTGTATGCATGTATGGGCATAGCATGCATGGCTGTATGCATGTATGGGCATAGCATGCCTAGTTGTATGCGTGTATGTGCATAACGTGCCTGAATGTACGCATGTATGGGCATGGCATGCTTGGCTGTATGTGTGTATGGGCATAGCATGCCTAGTTGTATGCGTGTATGTGCATAACGTGCCTGGCTGTATGCATGTATGGGCATAGCATGCCAGGCTCTGTGTGTATATGGGCATAGCATGCCTGGCTGTATGTGTGTATGGGCATGGTATGCCTGGCTGTATGTGTGTATGAGGATGGCATGCCTAGCTGTATGTGTGTATGGGCATAGCATGCCTGGCTGTGTATGTGTATGAGCATAGCATACCTAGTTGTATTGTATG